ATGCTGAATACCTATTAGGATCTTGGATTTCGTTCTATTTGCTATACGAATACCACATTTTTTTACAAGGTTTAAGCAACCTCGGGTTTGCTGATGCAACCTCAAAGTCAATTAGACGGTTTTGTTGAATTAAAAGGCTATAGAAGAGGATACTTTCATAAATCAGCCACGAAGGGTTAGAAGCTATGCTTAATGTAACTACCAGCCAAAAGATTCCGTATGAAGATAAATTTCTTCGATTCCTAAGTTATTGATATCATTGTTGAAAATCATAGGTTGTAAGTTGGCTATGGTACGGGAGGTCTCTTGCTTCATCGAGTCAGCTCCAGAGCATACTACCATGTTCCGTCTTCCAAGTGTGCGAGAAAGTTTGAATAAAATGTCAGGTATGAATGGCCTGAAATAGTGCAAATTGATAGCATCATTGGATATACTTGGCGCCTCGATAGTTTTTTCAATTTCCAGCCCACTCTTAGTTGCTTTCGTATCTTCTGAAGTCTGCTGTTGTTCACTTTTACCGTGGCATACGTAAATATCGGTATTTATGTAATCCCCAGCAATCTCAAGACATCTATTTAATTCTGTATCGATCCAGCGTAAGTCGTCAAAATGACGAATGATCCAAACAAAGTTGATATTTCTGCAAATGAATGGTTTATTATCTATCTTTGCTTGTTGAATTTCGTTGGCAATTGTGGATAAGAATGGTAATGTGGCTGTTATACCACTTCCGGTTGCCATTAACACAACATTATCAAACGATGTTGGGTCTCTTGCAGTACCTCCATATGGTCCGTCTAAGAATACCTTCTTATTGGTGATTGCGTACTCATCCAATTCATTATACAACTTCTTCGTCAACCCTTTCTTTGGAATAACTATAAATTTCAATCTCTTATCTTCGTTCAAGATCGAACACACTGAAAATGGATGGTTATCAAGCATCCTTGTACCAACAAATCTAAGAAAACAATGTTGACCCGGTTTCCATTTAAGATGTTCGCCACTGACAGAAATCTCATATGCGTTAGGTCCTAACTTACTTAATTCAGCCCTCCTTGGTTTCATGAATAACGAATTTGGTCTGAACGTGGTTTTAATTAAAATACGATATATCACTTGAGTTGCCCAAAATGCTAATGCCCCATACATGTAATCTTGCATCCCCAACGAGTAATCAATATGCCACCATAAGGTACCAAAATATGCAATCCCAAACATCCAATGTAAATGAAGGAAGCCTTCGTAACACACTTTTCTGAACCATGCTTTAGACAATACACATAATAATCCAAGCAAGAGCAAAGGTGGAATCCCGCTATAGTAGTAAAAGTCGGAGGTGAAATTAAGATGTAAGACTGCAGCACCACCTTCAGCTAAATCTTGATAAATAAAGGGAATTGTATGAATCACCGACAAAACAAAGGCTGAAAGACCAACATATTGATGGAATGCATTTAGTTTTTCGTAACTTATGCCGGTAATAAATGTTATCATGTTTGATTTACCAGATAACACATACACGAATGGAGTCAATGCCGTAGCCATTATTCCTGCTCTCACTGCTAATGGAGGTGAACCGAATCCACGACATCCTCTATACCAAAAGTGTGGTATCAAGCAGTAACAAAATAAATATATAGTAGACGCCATTAAAAAGAGTGTAGACCCAATCGATGCTGGCAATGATGTGCAGTAGCATATTTTACCTGGAACTTGTTTATATCCGACAAATCTAAAGTATGATGCCAATACATTAACAAATGAATTCCCACTCTGCGGCTTCTTCTTGTAAGCATAATCCAGATATCTGTACCATATGTTTTTAACGAACGCAATAAATATTACTACTACTCCAAAATATACTGTGTATTTTCCATAATTGGGTTGATCTCCCCATGGAACGTCAGCTTGCAGTTTCATGTGAGCACTTTCGTAAGCTGGCATGTTGGCATCTTTCAAACAGTCCATGCCATTAAAAGTTACACCCCGCTTAAATAAACTCATCTTTTATCGAAGGAATTAACAAGTGACCCAATGATAAACCTATTAACGTTACTTTATTGTCACTTATATACTACGATGTCCATTTGCAATAATGCGCAAAATCTCTACTCAACATAGTACTTAAATTTGCTCACTTTTTACAATTATTTCTCCATGCCAAACTGCTCGCTCCATATCAACCGATTAAATTGCTCGCAGTAGTAATCATATCGGATAATGCAACCTTCTTAGAGGTTAATGAAAATGTGTCAAACTAAATGTATATCATGTGATACTTGAAAACAGTCTATTATGTGTATAAGACTAACGTCTTCGTTTGCATTTAGGATAATGGTCATATAGACTATGCGTATAGAGTCTGTATGAAGATAAGGGAAAAAAGATAACATAATGAACTGATTTTGGCGAAGATTTTATTTTCAATATCGAATTATATTTTGCAGGCTGTTTCATTTAACTGCTCTGCTATGTCGAATTACCGAAAATGGATGGTATTTTTTTTTTTTGAACCGAAGAGTTTTGTTGATCGGAATTACATTAACATGCCTACCATCGACAGGAATTGCATACCAGGCTTAATATGTCTGATCGCTACCTCTTGATTTATGGACGATTTTATAAGAAGTCATTTACCGTTAGAAGGAATTAGTTTGTTCACAATGCTAAAATCAGCTACTCTCGTAACTTAGAACAGCTAAAATTCAATTATTCAACTGCGTCATACAGTTGTGATCTCAGTATGCTACAACCTATTGATTCCACTGAAACCTATGACTTTTCCAAACACATTTGCGATTCAACAGCTAATGCATCAAATCTAATCTTGTAAATAATATCTCTTGATATAGCTTCAATTTTCAGGAATCTGAAACTGAGCAATTTCCATTCCGATTAGTAAATAATTGCTTCAGGGGTCCAGAGTTTCCCATTCGCATTCGTATGTATAAACTGAGACATGTATTAAGGTGTAATATTACTCAATCAATTGCCAAGATCCAATTTACAAAGTTCTTGACCCCAGAATCGCAAGAACCGATTGAATCTCATACATGTATTCTGCGTATAGTAGAGGCATATCTAGTCGTAGTAACATAGTCTATTGAGCAGTTACGGATACTAATTCATCGTTAGCACTATAGAAGATAACGCATACCGCAATTGGTTAGTGTCATTTTATGAGCCACTCTCGTAAATTTCACTGATATGTGTCCCCATTTGAGAATGCTTTCCCTAATTTTAAACTAGAGTGTAAGGTAAGCTTCATCAGAGAGAAATGAACAGTCATGGTCTATGTCGACGTTTGATTATTATTATATGTGTTCTTTTTATGTGTGCAATCGGTTTAGGTGTTGGTCTTGGAGTAGGTATTTCACAAAATAAAAGGACCGTAGAGAAATCAGAACCAGACTCGAACGATCCACCAGTGGTTAATTACAAGAAAGCAAGCTTATGGAAGCCCAAAAAAGGCCTAACGTGGCAATATCAGCTTGCTTCTCCATTTAAGACGCTTGTGTCAGGCGTCGATGTATATGATATTGATCTTTTTGAAAATTCAGAGGAAACGATTAGTAATTTACAAAAACAGGGCAAGAAGGTCATTTGCTATTTTTCGGCGGGAAGTTATGAGAATTGGAGACCAGATAAGGAAAAGTTCGCTGAGGGTGATCTAGGTAAATCTCTTGATGGGTGGAAGGGTGAAAGATGGTTAAATGTAAAGTCGCAAAACGTCAGAAAGATAATGAAAGCCAGATTGGACCTAGCTGTACAGAAGAAATGTGATGGGGTCGAACCAGATAATGTTGATGGTTATGATAATGATAATGGAATAAAACTTACTGAAAAAGATGCCATTGATTACATGAATTTTTTAGCCTCTGAAGCACACCACAGAAACTTGTCTATAGGGTTGAAAAATGCAGGTAGTATAGTTAAAGATCTAGTCAATCTAGTCGAATGGGCGGTACAAGAACAATGTATTCAATTTGGTGGATGTAGGGAGTACCAATCTTTTATAAAAGCGGATAAACCTGTTTTCCATGTCGAGTATCCAAAAGGTGAAGATGTCAATAATAATCGTAACATCACTTCATCAAAGTTTAACAAGATATGCAATAATGTAGAGAGTGATGGATTTTCAACTATCGTCAAAAATATGAACTTAGACTACTGGATTGAAGTCTGCCCGATATCATAAGTAATCATTCGTTAAATTAACAGAAATTGCATTGAGTACGAAAATAGGGGGAGGTATACTAAGTATATATATCATCCGTTTTCTTTTTACCGATGAATATTCAAGCTACGAATTTACTATTTGATTGATATATACAATATTTGCATTACAGGTGTATTTAATAATAGCTCCAATAAAATACTAATTACTCCATGAAAACCATCTAATTTGTTTATACCTAGTTCCTAATTTATTCTCAATTCTATAATTTATATAACAATTTTGAATTATATTCGTCTCAATAGTTGAAGTCTCTTTTTAAAATATTTCTACATTTAGTCAGATTTCATAAAAAGTTGAAAAAAAAATATTAAAAATGGTTACTTAATGAAAAAATGATATATCGTTACTTATTACCTTTAGATAATGTCAGTAAGAATATTTCATACATATTCATAAAACCGACAAATTGTTGCAAATTATCGGAATTATGTAAAATTGAGATATACAATCAAGATCTTTAAACATCAAGTTTACAGTTATATCTTACCTCAAGACTATTTGAATGATTTATATCTCTTAATCTGATCAACTGATCTTTTTCTCCTGAAAGGCTAGCTAGTCTATGTTCATGAAAAGTCGAATTGGTGAATATGGAAATCGCGATATGTCCGACATTTCTAAGCAGCAAGTTTACTAATTTTGCGCAGCTATTCATAAACTTGCTGCTTAGTTATCATGCCTAAAACAGGTGGGTATATAAGGTTAAAGATGATTGCAACATTTAAATATCATACTAGAGTTAACAGACGTAATAATCATGACTACATTAAAGGTTTTTCTTACAGGTGCTACAGGCTATATTGGAGGTGAAGTTCTCTATCAATTGTTGAATAACAAAACGCATAACTTTGAAGTAACTGCGTTGGTTCGGTCGCAGGAGAAGGCAGATCTTCTAACAAAGGCTACCAATAATAAGGTGATTCCTGTTATTGGGAGTCTTGATTCTCTTGAGGTAATTGAAAAGCAAGTAAACGAAAATGAGATCATTATTAACACTGCCAATGTGGATCATGTTCCATCAGCAAAAGTGTTGGCAGATACTTTAGCTAAGAAGAAGAGCAAGGCAATCTTGATTCATACTTCAGGGACGTCAGTTATTGGTGATGAAATGTCAGAAAGCAAAAAGCCATCAACTAAAATCTATTATGATGACAAAAATATTGACGAAATCAATTCTTTGCCCTTAGAACAGCCCCATAGACCTGTCGATGCTATTATATTGGATATCAATGAAAGAAATCCAAATATTGAGACAGCTATTATTTCACCATCTGCGATTTTTGGACAGAGCGATGGTTATGACAAGATTGTTTCAGCTCAGATTCCTTACTTAATTTCTCTTTCAGTTGCAAATGATCAGGCATTCAGTGTCTATGGCGGAAAATACATCTGGAGCCATGTACATATTAAAGATCTAGGAGATTTGTACATGATAATCCTTGACAAATTGATTAATGGTAGCAGTATTCCAAAAGGAAGAGAGGGATATTATTTTGGGTCCTACACGGTACAGAATGAAGGTCCTATTACTGAAAAACCTTCTGAAATCGAGCATTATTGGAGTGATGTTTCCGAAGCAATCGCCGAAAATCTTTACAAGAGAAAACAGATCAGTAAGAGTGATGTTGCCCAATTAAAGCCTGACCAGGTCATTAAACTCTCCAAAGGCAATGATTTTGCTCCATATTTATGGTGTACAAATTCTAGAAGTAGAGGGCAAAATGGTATAAAAATTGGATGGAAGCCACAATATGTAGATGCTAAATACTTCTGGGATTCTATTCCTGGAGAAGTTGATTATTTTATTAAGAATAGCCTCGCAAATAAGTGAGTAAATGCTCACTCACATATAATAAAGAATATTATTAACTTTGATCCTGTAGTCAGTAGATAGTCAATTAATACCATACTAAATTTATACTAAATTTTCTATTCTTAACATGTACTATGTGGGAGAAACACTATTGAGTGAAAAACTAACTACTAAGTAAAGCGAATAGTCATAAATATATGTATTATTAAATAAATAACTGAAATACTCATTAGTTTCCAGCGTACCTAGATCTAGCACGTAATTTAGGTCCGTTAATATAAAACAAGATAGGAATTGCAATCATAGCAACACAAATGAATCCCAACACACTTGAACCCCATCCGACGGGGAATTTCTCATTTGCAAGATTAGAAAACAATGCATGTGCAAATAGAGGAAAACAACCAGCAATGACGGATCTAAACAAACAATTTCCGGCAAATACGGATGCCATGTATCTCCAGAAAGACATACTCAAGTAGTTGAATAAGGTTTGGAAGATTATAAACGCACCAATTGCAAAAATAGCCGCTCCAATAATAGGTCCAATCCAATGAATGTCTGGGCTTGCAGTCCATCCGAAGATAAACACACCGATAGGCATCATACAACTTCCAAAGATTGCACTGGGTAAGAAAACCTCAGGAGTAATATCTTCACCAGCTAGCATAACCTTCGTAAACTTCTTATAAATGATCGGAACGTAAATAATAGCGCCAATAAGAACACCAACCATAATACTAACATAGGTGACACCCATTTCGACCAATGTAAAATGATGGACTTCAACAAATACTATTGGAAAAGCCTCAAACCATAAATACATAATGGAATATACCAATGCAATGTAAATGTTTATTAATAAAACAACAGGCTCAACAATGGAGATTTCAATAGGCCTCCATAAAGTATCAATGGCTAACTCTCTCTTAGTCATTTTCTTATTCTCTATTTCTCCCTCGCTGGTAATATTTTCATTACCTGTAATGGCTCTGAGTCTTTCTGCCTTTCTGTATAATAAAGTTTTAGAATAAGTTTCTGGTAAGAAAATACTCAAAACTAACAAGGAACAACCAGAAATGATACACATGAACCAAAATGTCCATCTCCAGTCCCCTTTAACAGTTAAGACGGAACCAACCAATGGACCAAGAGAAGGACCACATACAGCAGAAATGGCCCATGTTGCAATACCAACCGGAATGTATGGTAAAGAAATAACATCACCAACTGAAGCACCACCTGTAGCTAAACAAGGAGATGCAAAGAAACCACTTATGAATCTTAAAATACACAAACCAGCTATGTTGTCAACTAACGCTGTTGGGATTTGGAGGATGAAAAAAATGAAAAGCGTCACAATGTAGATGGATGTTCTACCGAAGATGGCATTTTCTGACACAGGCGAAAAAACCATTGGTCCGATACCATATCCTATAACAAACAAACTCAAGGGCAATGTGGCCACAGTTTGACTAATTTGAAATTGTTCCATAATCTCTTCGACACCAGGCGTGTAAATAGCAGAAGCCATGTATACTGACGTGGTTAAAAATGCAATCTCAAACATAAAAAAGATCTTCTGATACAAGGGCCAATTATATGGATTCTCTGGATCATCAGGCCCGTCCCAATCAACAATAATCTGATCAGAATTCCGTATAGTTTCATCTGACCCATCCAAAACTACTTTGATGTCTGATACAGACCCATCGCTATGAGCTTCTTTACCCTCTCCGTAGTATTTACTGGGTGCTATGAATTCTGGCTCTTCTTCATGATGTTTGAAATATTTGTGCTTGGAAAGATGATAAATCGTCCTTCCCACAAAACTGTCTCTTAAAAATCTATAATGCATCGCAGTCTAATACTAATATTAAAAAAAATTACTTGATAAAACAACTGTACAAAAAAAAACTCCAAACGTATTAAAACGTTGAGCTACCTTCCTTTTATAGTACCTTTCCATTACTCATCGATCCGGATCTACTGTGATGAACTGAAATGATTATTAATTTATCAATTTTTCGATTGCATTGAGTAGTTGACGTGTTGATGTATCCCGGTCTTAACTATTTGGGAAAAAACCGCGATCTTACTAATAATAATCACCATCCATTTAGGGAATAGTCCGGTACTTCCAAGTTAAAGGCGTAAATCCGATATTTCCAGTACTATATAAGACTCATTAATACGTAAAGCCGCACAAAGCACACTATTAGGAAGCTCGGAGGCCGCAGGAGTTCTCACGGGTATTACTTCTTTGGGATCCAATATGGCTGTAATTTGTCAGCCGTTTATAAAAATTTCATCAAGTGCTATATACAAGATAACAATTCCTAGCTGCATATTCGCCTTACATATGTAATATGAAATGTTTGTCTTTTCTGTTTATACATAATCTAGGCGGTGTGGTGTCGTGTTAGAAGTGTCATCTTTGAGTTACCACCTATAGACGATAATGTAGGGAGCAATATTTGAGCAATTATAGGCTTGTGAGGACAATTTTTGGGTGAAAGATGGGCCCTGGCTCTGGCATATGGTGCTGACTTTAAAGAGGTTTCCTAATTTAGAATCAGTTAGATTATGGAATAGGTGTTTTTATATGTATTTTTATGATACTATATCTGGCGAAATATTGTATATGTACCATAGAATGAACTGGTAACGGATGACTACTATCTCTAGGAATGAAGGTTTGCGAAAGTTGCCATCTTGAAGAATAACGAAAGACTTCACATTGGAAACTGTCCTCAAATGACTATTCGCAAATATTATCGATAGGACTAATTAAGGTCCACATGGGAAGTTTAAGGCGCGTATTGACTCAAAAGATAACTAATGGCCTATTGCATCAACGTTGCAACAACGTAGCGTACTTTGTTGTGATCGGAAACCGGTCCGCAAACTATAAAATCATTAAGAGGCTTTAATGCGGAATTAATTCGGGGATAATTTAGTCCTCCGTACGGCTTTAAAATTTATTTATAAGGGACATCTGACGCATCTTTTTGCATTTTGACAGATGATTTTATAATAGTATTATCGGATATGTCAAATCAATCTAATGATATAGCAGTTAAGTCTGCTGGAGAGTCGTTTGGTAGTAATAACAGCACTGATCTTACTGAAAAAGATTTAGCTGTGAGAAGCATTCGCGATGAAGAAGCACAAGCTCCAAAGGAAAAAAAATTCATTGAAAGTGATGCTGGCGATGGTAGTAAAAGAGAGGATCAGTATTTACACGGGCCTAAATTGGCATTATGTTTTGTGGCAATCTTCTTGTGTCTTTTTCTTGTGGCATTGGATCAAACTATTGTTGCCACCTTGCTTACAGTTGTTGGGAATAAATTTAATGGATTTGATAAGATTGGATGGTTATCAGCAGGGTTTCTTTTGTCAATGGCTGTTTTTGCTGCCACATGGGGTAAGATTTCAATTATATTCGGAAGAAAGATAACAATGTTTATTGCCATTATTCTCTTTGAAGCCGGGTCGTTAATGTGTGCATTAGCCAACGATATGAATGTGTTAATTGGGGGTAGAGTTCTTGCCGGTGTAGGTGGGGGAGGCATTCAATCGATGGTCTTTATTTTGATCAGTGAAATTGTTCCTTTAGAAGTCAGACCGCTTGGTATGGCAGGATTGGGATGCACTTTTGCAGTAGCTAGTGTGCTTGGACCCCTTATAGGTGGTGCATTTACTTCGAACGTTTCCTGGAGATGGAGTTTCTATATTAATTTGCCTATTGGTGGCATTGCGGCGGCATTTTTCTTCTGGGCATTTAACCCTCCAAAGACTAAGGGTAGTATAAGAGAAAAGCTCAAAATGATTGATTATTTAGGTACTGCCCTTTTATCGGCAGGTTTAGTTGTTTTCCTTTTAGCTTTGACCTTTGGTGCTGGCGATCAATTTTCTTGGGATTCGGCTGCAGTCATTTGTTGTTTTGTTTTAGGTGGGGCAGTATTAATCGTATTCTGCATTTGGAATTTCAAGTATTCCAAGAATCCAATTATTCCTCCTGATATCGTGAAGGCCTTGGGTGTAGATGCATCAACACTTATGATATTTGGGATGTTTGGTTATTTCATGGCAATTGTGTTGTATGTATCAATTTATTTCCAAGTTATTCATGGTGCTGATGCATGGCATTCGGGTCTTCATTTGCTTCCTATTATTATCCCTGTGGTGCTTACTTCCATTTCAAGTGGTATACTTATCCACAAAACTAGGTTTGTGAAGCCATTTGGTTTGTTCGGTGCAATAATGGGTCCAATTGGAATAGGTCTCCTTTGTTTATTGGATGTTGATTCTTCTAGTTCTAGACAAATTGGTTTATTGATTATTTCAGGTATTTCGTGTGGATTCCAAATGCAGTCTGCATTGATTTCCTCTCAAATATCGGCACCAAAGACGCCGGGTGGTACTATTTTGACTACAACATTTGTCAATTTTGGAAGAGCCGTCGGAGGTACAATTGGTGCCGATTTGGCTGATGCAGTTTATTCGGCTGCATTTCAAAATAATTTTGCCACCGCTTTATCTAATTTAAATGATAAGCTGATTTTATCTGAATTAAGCCAGATTAATGAAAGGGCATTAGTAACTTCGACAGATTTGATTAAAACATTATCTCCTGGAGCTCAGCTTTTTGTGAAAAATCAAGTTATGGAAGCTATTAGGAATGTATTTTACATGTCTCTCGGGTTTTCTGCGCTAGGACTCATCGGTTGTATATGTACGACAAATAAAAGGTTACCTAAGGTCACAGGTGGACAGATGGCGGCTGAGGAAGAAAAGGATGAAACAAACGAGGGAACAACGAATGATAATAGAAGAAGTTCTTCATTGAATGACAAAAATCAGAATATACTGATTGATCGTTTGAGAAACGATAATTTAGAAAATGTGCCGGAACAAACAGAAAACAGAAAAGAATAATATGGATTTAGAAGTAAACTATAATGTACCTTGAGAAAACATAAATTGTAAATAGCAAACATGCCATGTATGATGATTTAATGACAATTAGTTACTAAGTGGAATAAATTTTATAAATTTTATAAATTAATAATATGATAAACTATATTTAAGTGTATATAAAATCAAGTCAAAAATACGTACAACGCATGAGACTTGCGATTTGGAATGCAAAATTAAAACCCTAAGCGGTTAATAAATAATACTTAATTTAACTCGTAGTTACCACCCCAGTGCGGTGAGTGTATTATGAAGGCATTGAGGAGGCCTGCAATTAAACCTGCAATCGGTAAAGTAAAAATCCAACCAGCATAAATCCAAATGACCATTCTCCAGTTAACACCACGTACATCAAAATTACATAAACCGACAAAGACAGTAGCACCAACAGCACACTGGGTAGTAGAAACAGGAAGTTCTAATTGTGTGGCCATAACCGTAGTAATGGCAGCACCCAATTCAATTGCAAAACCTCTGGATGGTGATTGCAAAATCAACTTATTACCTAAATTACGCATAATTCTGTAACCGAATGTCCAAAGACCAATGACTAAAGCTGCTGCAGCGTAACATAAAACCCAAATTGGAACTTCTGATTTCTCACCGGTGGTGTTAGTTTGCCAGATCAAGTAAACTGAAGATAATGGACCAGTTGCATTAGCAATATCATTTGCCCCATGGGCAAATGACATTGTTCCTGCAGTAACAGCTTGCAATAATGAAAATAAATATTCAATCTTATTATCATAATATTTGGATTTGGTGTGTAATTGCTTCAAGTTACCAGATAAAGCATCTTTAGATTGGGCTTGATCCGAAATAATATCCTTAGTAATACCATGAGTGAAAATTAACCATAATAACAATGGCCACTTTTTTGGACCTTCATTAAATAAAGCTTTCCAGAGTTCTTTAGTAGATAATGTAGTATCAGGTTGTTCTAAGTTGAATTTAACGCGTTCGGTTCCGCTATTGTCCTTATTAATCGTTTGATCAATCGAAGAAGATGAAACTTTTTCTGCGTTAACTTCAATATCTTCGAACTTGTCTTCCTCACGTAATGTATCAAGGTCTTGTTCATCATGACGACGACCTTTATAGTAATCAATAGTCAAATTGTGATCTGCTGGCATTGGAGGAATATCATCAGTAGACTTAATCCAGTAAACTGGACCGATAAATATATGGTACCATTTTAAAGTCCAATCATTATGAACTAACTTTCTTTTCATGTAAGGAAAGCAGATAAACATATAAAGCAAACATGCGACTGCACCAACACCCACAATAGAACCAGCAAGAGCACCATCCGATAAATCATCTAAGTTCAAAGATGGAGCACCCTTCCAAACAATCAACATTGTTAAGATTGAAAAACAGATGAAGACCAAAATAGGAACTAAGAATAAAGCATTTCTTAAGGAAGTGGATGGGTTCTTAATTTCTAAAACGGTATACTTGGAAATAAGGAAAATGATAGATGCAAAAGCACCGGCAATGACTGGTGCAATACCCCAAGAGGCAAAAATTTGTGCAACACCATCCCAACCCCAGACAATATTATTAGCACCTCTTGCAGCGATAGCTGAACCAATAGTGGCACCAACAATAGAATGAGTAGTAGAAACAGGCATACCAATAGAGGTAGCAATAGTCAACCAAATAGATGAACCAACTAAGGCACATGCCATTGTTAACATAAGCACGGCTGGTTCTGGTTCAAAAATGGCAACATCGACAACTTTGTTTCTAATAGTGTCACTAACTTTATTTCCTACTAAAACAGCCCCCAAGAACTCACAGATGGCCGCAATTATCATGGCTTGCCAATATTTTAACGATCTAGATGAAATAGAAGATGCGAACGAATTTGCAACATCGTTTGCACCAATATTCCATGCATCCAAAAATGCAAATATCATTGAAACTGCAAAGATATGATTAAACTGTGTAAGCACCATTGTATTTGTGATTTATATTGATCTTAATGGAAACTAATACTTTGTTATTTGGATACACTTCTAATCTGTATTATTAAAACTTCAAGAGATTTGCTCTAATTTATATATACTTTTGAATCATTTTCTACAAATACAATTCTAAGTACTCGTGGGTCTGTCAATTAATTAATTAATTAATTAATTCTAATTAATTAAACACCATTCTATTTCAAAGCTTAACTTTCCATATAGAATTACGAAAGTCTTGGAAGTTCAGTTCAGGTGCAAAATTGGTCGCAGAGTTTCTTGGCAAGGAGGAAAAAAATATGAGTGGGAAAATGCACGATAAACGTGAGAAAGGAAGTTCATGCGTTTTAGGAAGAGCTTACGAGAGATTGCAAAGTAGTAAACTATGGTTCCCTATTAGCACGTATGTTGAGAAGTAGTAAAATTGTGAGTAACCATACTAATACTAGGGGCTATTAAGTAAATTTGAATATTACGGCGTATGTTTTGAGTAAAATTGAGAGGATGCATTACTAGATCCTAAAAAGAAAAACGCTACCACCAGTCGTGTGAGGGAACAAGGATATAATCATTTCAATCGAGTTTTCATGGAAAGAATGTCCACTGGTGTCACCAAACTTAAATAAGGAAACTTTTGACATTCGTTTTTACAGTTCAAGCCAAGTTATTCAATCATTCTCTAACTTCTACGTAGCGAACGTCGACAAACAATAAGAAGCGATGTTTGATTGTAAGCTGAAGGCATGTAATTATTTCATGGCAGATCAGCTTTTCATAGAGAATCGAACGCTCTGAATGCCGTAAACATGTGGTGTCAAGTAAGCAAAGAAAAAAATTTGTCCACGAGGTTTCTTTGACTGTACACTAGGTTTAGGCAAAGACCTGACTGGATAATCATATACTTAGGATCCAAAGAGTACCATAGACATTTCTACTAAGAAGCCCACTCAATGGAGGCGTTTTTCTACAGTAGTGGAGTGATGAATTTGGTATTCTAATCAGGGCATGCTGTGTTAAACGAAACATTGTTAGAAGCAATTCAGGTTAAAATTCAAGTATTGGAACTAATGTATGCCCTGTGCTAACACGTGGACCCGATTATAATTCAATAATAAGCTATGATTACGCGACTTTGAAAATACGAAATGCATGTAAACGGCTAGAAATCCACGTGTGGGCTTTGATAAAAGAGCAGCTTCAAGAATCTTGCGACCAATCGATTATTCCTACTGGTTAGGATCGTTGATATTCGAAAGGAGTAGGATGGCTTTTTTCTTAGACGAATTTGTACTAATATAGCATCTATACGAAGGTACCACGGGTCATGAAGGCATTGCTTTCTTGTAATATACCTATGAGTAGGCTTAGTCACACGATTTATAGAGCATAAACGATACCTTACTGGAAATTAACAGAGCTAAAATCCATTTAAGCACTGCGAATCTTAGAATATATTTGAAATACTTGGGCTAAAGGGGCTAAAGAGGCTTAAGGACTCTATTTGAACCCTACATGAGAAATCGCAAGAAATATTCCTCTGAAATACCAAGTGCTATTAAAAACTCTCAATTAAGGTCACAAGCATACCTGAAATCAAGAAGTCACTATTGCAACTACTCAGGAATTCACCGAATAGCACTAAATTATTGCTAGCCCATGGTACTGGTACGTCACGTGGAACATAAACTTACGAATATCTGAATGTTGTTCATTCGTTTGGAAACTAGACACCCGGAGCAATATATCTTGTGATAAGAGATATGACTACAGATACCTTGTTTAATAAAGCAGCAATATCTGCTGGTTTTATGAAAAAGTCACTCAATGGCAACAAAGAATACGAAAAAATGCAAGCAGGAGAAACTTACAATTCCTTCGATAAAGATTTGATATTGGCCCGTACGATCACGAGTGAAATTGCAAGTGAATATGCTGATATTAAGTTGAGCGATCATGGATATGATATTGCGAAGCATCAAAAATCAAGGGCGGATTATTTGTCCAAGTATTTGTTCTTTAAAAATGTTCCTGACATTTACATTGAACCCCCATTTTTTGTTGATTTCGGCTGCAATATAAATTTTGGTGTTAATTTTTATGCCAACTTCAACGCAACGTTCCTTGATTGTGCAACAATAACATTTGGTGATAATGTTCTTTTGGGAACCAACGTGACGTTCACTACTGCTGGTCATGCGACAGATCCTCAAGAGAGAATGGATGGGATTGAATTTGCCTATCCGATTAATATTGGTAGTAATGTATGGTTCGGTGCAAATTCGATTGTATTGCCAGGTGTTACTATTGGGGATGGTGTGGTGGTTGGTGCTGGAGGTGTGGTAACTAAAGACATTAGTAGTAACTGTGTTGTTGTTGGGTCACCTGCGAGAGTGATTAAAAACTTGAAGCTGAGAGAAGAAAGAGAAATTGTAATTAAAGAAATCGACACATAGAAGAATAATAGGTACTTTTCATTCACGAATGTAGAGCTTTAATTTATCTTTGAATTCCTTTTTCTAATATGCGTCTTTAATGGATCGCCATGTGAGATTACGAAAAGAATCGTATTGATGAAAACAATACAACAATTCGTAAATTTTTTAGGAGAAGAAAATCTTATGGATAACAGAATGTTGAATCTATCATATTGGTTAGACGAATACTATTTTCAATTTCAATTATTGTGGCTTTTCTTTCGTGCGATGCTTAAGGCAAAAAGACATATAAAATAAGTTGTATATTAATTGTGAACTTTTATAAGATTTAATATAAGTTTCCAGCGTACGTCGTCGAAAATTATACTCCTATTGTCTAATTTTCTCTAGATTTGTCGTACCTCAATACAGCCCTCAATAATACGTCGAGACCATCATCGATCAGCTCAGGACTAGAAAATTCTTCAGGACTATGGCTAACACCATTGCGCGATGGAATGAATATCATAGATGTTGGGCATCTAGAACTTGTTGAACAAGAATCATGGCCCGCACCGCTCACGATTTCTTTAACGTTCTTACTACCATATAGGTCAATGGATGCATTTTTAATGCATGAAATGCAATTTTGGTGGAAATTAACAGCCTTAGAATTAAATAAATGTTCCATTTTCAATCCCAAAGGTTTTGAAGATAAATTGCCGCTTGCACTATTGATAATTTTCCTAAATTCCAGTTCCAACACTATATGCATTTTGGATAATGTATGATCCGACACATGCCTAGCATCATAAATAAAACTGACTTTATTCGGAATGACGTTGACTACCGCAGGTTCAACGTTAATGATACCGACACTAACTAATCCATTATGCTTATAACCAATTTCATTGCACTTTGCAATCATTTGAGATGCGGCATATAAAGCATCTGATCTTACATTTAATGGTGTGGTACCCGTGTGAGACGAATTCCCTACGACTGTTACCTTGTACCAGTCATAGGCTTGGACCCCAGTTACAATGCCGATTTTTTTGTTTTCTTGTTCTAAGATAGGGCCTTGCTCAATGTGTAATTCAAAATGAGCATGAAGCGGATTGGCTTGGTAGGAAGCACAAGTTTCGCCATTATAACCAATTTTTTTCAAAGCATGTGCAACCGTGACTGGCTTTTGATCTGTGACAGATTGCAAATTCATCACGGACTCTTCTGTTACGTTTTCTGCCCAAAGCGAAGAACCCATAATTGACCTTGGAAATCTTGCGCCTTCTTCGTTAGTCCAATTAACCACTGCAATAGGATAATTTGGAACATACGCATTCTCTTTCATAATTTTTAACACTTCTAATCCAGCGAGAACCCCTAATACACCATCGTATCTGCCACCTGTTGGTTGAGTGTCCAAATGCGATCCGATCGCTGTAGGGTGACCCATATTCTTACCTGGGTAAATAGCAAAAATATTGCCCACTTGATCGACCTTTATATTACAGCCTAGTGCCTTGGTTTCAGTAATAAACCAATCTCTAACTGCTTTGTCTAAATCACTTAACGATAAACGACAAACTCCAGTCTCGGTAGGAATATTTCCCCACATTCCTTTGGCACCAAACTGTGCAGTGTGGTGAATATAATTTAAAAGCCTACCTTTGACAATGGATAAGGATTTACTCATTTTGCTTCAATATCTGACGATTTTTAAGTCTATCAGTATATTTGCAATATATTTCATTCCTTAAGTAATGTTGAAGTCGGAAAATAAATGCGACAACTAATGGCGGAAATATTGATGCGCTTTATTTCCCTATATTTAATATGCCGCTTTATTTCATTCAAGTTCAAGTCTACATTTTCATTTCATAATGAAATCGAAAACAGAACCACCGTCTTTATACTACAATAAAGATGCAGTAGCATGGAATTTTTGTAGAGACGGGTTAGATAAGATTGAACGGGAAGTTTCCAATTTCCATGAAGCGTTAGATGGATATAAACCAACGAATTTAACTGAATTACCAAACAGCCATGAGTTCGGTGTAAAGAAAGTTTTTATTAAGGAAGAATCGTCTAGATTTGGTCTTCCCTCGTTTAAAATATTGGGTGCTTCGTGGGCAATTTATAAGGTGCTTGTTTCTGAATTTAGTTTGCCCCGTAATGCAACGTTCTCTACGTTAAAACGGTATATAAGGAGAGAGAATTTAAAGGATGTGATTTGCTTAGTTTGTGCAACAGACGGTAACCATGGTAGAGCTGTTGCAAGAGTAGCATATTTATTAGGTATTAAATCTGAGGTATATGTTCCTTCCAACGTCTTATCTACTGAGCGCGCAAAGATAAGGTCAGAAGGTAACACTAATCTTACAGAAATAAGAGGAGATTACGATGAGGCAGTTGAGACGGCATATGCATTTTCACTCGCAACTAAGAACAGGTATTTTATTCAAGATACATCTTTCACGAACTATACTAGTATTCCACAGAGCATCGTGGAAGGATATAGTACATTACTAAATGAAATTGATTCGGAAGTTCTCAAACAAACTGGAACCAAGCCTGGTCTAGTCGTATGTGGTGCAGGCGTGGGTTCCTTTGCCCAGGCAGTTGTGACTCATTACAGGGCTGAATTCAGAAAAAATTCTAAAACTCAGGTGATGGTTGTTGAGCCATCGCTTTCTCGTTGCTGCAATAAGTCTCTTACGTTAGGAGAACCTTCGAGATGTGATGAGATACAAACCACACCAACTATCATGGATGGGCTAAATTGCCCAACAATTTCTGAATTAGCATTTCCAATTTTAAAACTGGGGCTTACGTACTCGCTGTTAATTGACGACGATGAATGCCATTTGGCAGTTGAGGAATTAGATGGGTTTGGTATATCAACTGGTCCCTGTGGTGCAGCGCCATATGCTGCCCTTAAGAAATTCTTTAGAGAATTGGTTTCTGCTGGTCACTTAAAAGAAACCGATTCAGTTGTTCTCATTTCAACTGAATATAAAAGAATATATAATGTTCCTAGCTCATCAAATTTATGATTCATATAAAAAGATAGATATTTATCTTACTTTTTCATACCCTACAATGTTTATATACATTAGACTTGATGAATACTCTAAAAAGATACAAAGTAATTTAATTCTGCGTGTAATCTAATACGCCTTACTACTGAATTTCTAAAGCTGTGTACGTACACCCTTTCCTTCCATTACTATTCTTGCGTATAACCCACTATATTTTGTATGTTATCCAACGTGGTATTTGCTTGCTATTTTGGTCACTTTATATTTTGTACTTCATAAAATCTTCATATCAAACAATTATCTTACTTTTTCATTCCCTACACTATTAAAATCCACTTGCTTATATGCGATCTACTACTTTTGATTTGACAAAAGACAAATTAGGTTCCAACCCGCTAACCCTGATAGTATCAAGAGTGAACATCAGTTGCGTAGTATATTTGGTCAACCAACTCCAAAGGAATATGAATAATCGATTGAAGAAAGTATGGGTTGATAACTATATAGTATATATGAAGTCAATATTAAGCATAGTCGATTCTGAGGGGTGCGAGAGAGGAGTATATACTATAGCTGACTATTTGCTGCATGTCTTTTGGTCACATATGCTAAACAACTTGATAAACTTGGTAGTAATGACACTATTAGATCAGAGAGTCCTGAAGATAAAAAACCAGTTGCAAAAGTCTTTACCGCATCATGTTCTTTATTCGTTGTTTCATATAGGGGGAGTTGGAGAGGGGTTCCGTGTTTGGGTATATTATCCAGAAGTATGGGGTGATAATGCATCAAGGAAGGCGAAGAGTTGCCTCTATTACGTCTGCAACTGGCTATGTAGTTTTTCTCTCGCTATGTATGCTTTCAAGAATAACTTCGAAAACATTATTTATGCAACCTTTTGTGCTTGCACGTCTTTACATGTATTTTCTTTCATCCAGAAGTTAAAGGTAATATTAGAAGAGATTAACCAAACGTGGGATGAACATATTACTGCCTGGAAAAGTAGACCATGGTAACGAAATGTTTCAGCTTCACTTGATAAGTGATATTAAAAGTAGAATCTGACAGTATTCTCATTGCACTCATCTTGCATCCATAACTGGACCGCTCTATACACTGCGCATACTGTTTATCTTGGTAGTTCTCAGGATGAATACACCACAAAACTTTATAGTACCTCTAGCAGATGTATTACCAACATCAGACATATCAATTTACTTCTCAGAATTAATGTTTTGGAGTAGAAATAGAATACGGTTCGTTCCTTTTGGGAATAAAATATCCAAGTCATAATTTTCTTCTTGTGACTTTGTGTAATAGTAAGATATCAAAAAGGGTATAATGATTTTAACTCAAGACGTAATATTTTTCTCCCGATGTCAAGTATGAAAAGGAAATGCACAAACTCGTATGTATATGAGATATCTACTGGACATTCAGAATCACTAACAAATATAGATGTAGCTTGTGTAGATCATTAAAGGTACGCAAAATATGAATATGAAATTGTTTTGAAAATAATACTAACTTGGCGAGAAAAAATGTGATGGTAATAACCCTTGCTCTAGATGTGAACAGAGAAAAATTGCTTGTAAATATATATACGATGACAAACGAAGAAAGAGAAGAACATCCTTGAGCCATATACAGGCGTTGGAAAAACATATCTTTGATCTTGAACAAACACTCAAGAAATTAGTTGAATCAATTGAAAAGCCAGATGAAATAATCAAGACGCTAAAGCAAATATCAGAAGGCGATCTGGGTATAAATATTAAATCGGATTTATCTAGCGATTTACAAGGTATTAAATTAGCACCAATAATAGTGCAAGATGCAAAGTCAACTTCAATTTTTGGTCCGGCAAGCATATATAATGAATCGTTGTTAATAGCAAACGAACAAAACATAAATGACAACAATTCAGTGGAGCATCCGAAGAGTATGGTCGGTAATACTAAATTTAATTTTAATTTTAGACAGAGCGAGATACAGCCCCCAAAGGATGTAAAAATAGCGGTATCGTTGTTTTTTCAATTTCAGTATCCGTCAGTCTTTTCTTTTATTCATAGAGAATCATTCCTATATTATTTTCTAAGTAATGATTATGATAATGACTTTGTTTCAGATGACCTTGTGTTCGCAATTAGTGCGCTTGGTTCTCTAATGAGTGAAAATAAAGATCTACAATTGAAATCAGACTATTTTTACGATCATGCGAAGTCTTTAGTCTTCAAATCGAATGAAAATTTGTGCTTTACAAATGAGACTTCAATTACGAAATTGCAGACATTATTGTGTTTAGCATTGTATGATATAGGTAGAGGAAATTTAACGAGCGGCTGGCTACTTTCTGGACTTGCATTTCGCATGGGATTTGATTTTGGGTTTGAGTTAGATCCAAAAGAGTGGAAAATATTAAATTTGGATCAAGATAACCAAGGAAGGATAAAGAAAAAATTGCATGCTGATTATCCTTTTCAAATTCACAATGTGAAAAGTCGTATTTATTGGGGCTGTTACATTGCAGACAATTTCGTAAGTCTAGTACTTGGAAGACCCACAACCCTCAAATTATCTGATACTAACATGCCTGAATCGGAAGATATGGGAGATCTAACGAATATTGAAGAATATATGTATCACAATCCTAAGACAAACGTGATTCAATCTGCTTATCCTACAATTAAAGCATTAGCGGAACTTATCAATCTTTCTAATTATATACTAACATCTGTATTTGAGCCACTCTCTAACTTACCACAAGAACAGTTAAATATCGAATATTCTAAGCGATTGAAAAAATTATGTTTTTATAATAGAAAGTTACTTAAATGGAAATCTGAACTACCTAATGCCTTACAGTGGAATCGTGGAAATATAGAAAATTCTTGTAATGACATATTCTTGCATACACATAAGTGTTACTTTTATATTGTTTCGCTATGCTTAAACAGACCATTTATACAACTTTCTGTCACCATGGAGGAGGATTACGAAGAGATATCACCTATTTCGATTTGTGACAATATCGTTGACGAGATTGATGTTATAGTTTCTGGCGTAGAAACTTTGAAGGGAATCGATAGTAGAGCTGTTGGCGTTCTCTTGGTGTTTTGCATTATTATATCGATAAGCATCTTATATATTAGGTTCTCGATACTGAAAGATATTAATGAAAAGTTTGAAATTGAGTCCAAGCTAAGGAAGTTCTCTCGTTTTCTCGATCATTGTTCAACTATTTGGCATGTTGCTAAAAAACCATCTGAAATTACCAAGAAAAGAATCAGCAATATCTGGAATGATTTTAGCGCAAATAGGGACAAACTGATAGGTCAATCCAGCAATAAAGTGCTGACTACACAGGACACGCTTATTAATGTAATGGACCATTTATTTAACCCGAACGGAGGTGAAATTGGAAATCTGTCTCTTTTACGACATGATTTGACAAGCATGGATTGGGATGACTTTTTCGACTTTGATTTAAATTTTCACGATGTGCATAATACATGATTATGTTTATTGTGTTAAGATTTGCATATTGATAGACAATGTACAAGTCAGTGGCTTCAAGTCGTATTTTTTATCTAAAATTACAATCATAGTCGTGAAATGCACTTATAATTAAAAATATTATTTTGAGCAATAATTGGACGTGGTTTTCTAATGAATTGGAAGTGTGAATGTGAATATTTAACAGAAAGTGTTGTGGTCCATATGATGTATTCACATAGTAAAATTGACGATAATCACGTGAGAAATATTATTTTACCTCTGCCAAGCACACAGTTGTCCTCAACTATGGCTGCAAAATGGTTTAGTGGTAATATTAATAAGTATCAGGGATGTAATTTTTCACATATAAGGGCCTGATTTATCCCTCTATTATGATGTATTTCTTGAATTAGGGGCTATCTCAAGATGGGATTGAAATGGTTTAAGGGATCTTCTGATTCTGAGAAGCTACAACAAATTGAAGTGGTTAACAAAGAATATGAACTTGAATCGATTAGCTCTGGTGAAAAGCTAGACCATGTATTTCAGGACCCAATAGTTGCAGAACATTATTCGAAATTATATGAAGCTTGTGATTATGAATGTAAGGATTGGTTTGATCCCGAATTTACTTGGACTGAAGAAGAAGATAAAAAAGTTGTGTGGAAAAATGACTGGTATGTCACTTTTTGGGCTTTTTTTATGTTTACTGCGTTAGATTTTGATAGGAACAACATATCGCAGGCATTATCGGATAATATGCTAGATGATCTAGGGCTTACAACTAATGACTTCAACGTTGGAAAAACAATCAATCTAGTCTGTTTCTTGTCAGCAGAATTACCATCTCAGTTGATCTCAAAGAAAATTGGACCAGATATTTGGATTCCATCACAGATTGCTTTATGGAGTGTTGTTTCTATGGCACAAGCTGCTATTAAAGGTAAAGTTGGTTTCTACATCACTAGGGGTCTTTTAGGAGCACTTCAAGGAGGTTTCATCTGCGATATTTGCTTATGGATGTCTTACTTCTATACATCTAAAGAATTCCCATTTAGATTGTCTTTGTTTTATATTGCAAATCCTATGACTTCAGTCTGGTCTAGTTTATTAGCATTTGCATTATTGAAAATCAAAACTAATTCAATTCCTGAGGGTTGGAAATGGTTATTCCTTATTGAAGGTGCATTTACGTTACTTGTTGGCTTAATATCCTTCTTCAAAATGCCTGCTTCAGCCGTTCAAACAAAAACTTGGTTTCGTAAGAAGGGTTGGTACACAGATAGAGAAGAGAAGATAGTCGTCAATAGGGTCTTACGTGATGACCCGACTAAAGGGGATATGAATAACAGGCAACCAGTTAGTCCTAAAGAATTAGCTGCAAGCTTATTAGACTATGATTTATGGCCTATATATTTTGTCAGAATATTAGGAGATATTGGTGCAACACCTACTAATACATACATGACATTGACATTAAGAAAGTTAGGGTTTTCAACTTTTAATACTAATTTATTAACAATTCCATTCAATGTCCTTACAGTTATCACGATGCTTACAGCTGGTTATCTATCGGAAATTTTTAAAAGTAGAGCCTTAGTTCTTGCATCCGTTCCAGTATGGATTCTTGCTTGTTTATTCCCATTAAGGTACTGGCAGGGTTCACAAATTAATGTATGGGGAACTTATGCTATTCTTACTATTCTTCTTGGAGCTTGTCCAATATGGCCCTTGTCTATTTCTTGGTGTTCGGCCAACTCGAATTCAGTTAGAAATCGTGCAGTTTCTGCTGCTTTAGTTAATATGTTTCTGCAGTCTGCCGGGATCATTTCGGCAAATATTTATAGAGCAGATGATGCCCCTGCTTATCATAGAGGAAACGTTGTGTTGATTGGATGTGCGTTTGGGGCTCTAGGTGCTTGTATGTTCGCTAGATACTACTATATTTTCAGGAACAAACAAAAAGATACAGCATGGAATGCACTTACAATTGAGCAACAAGAGGACTATGTTAAAAATACTTCGGACCAAGCCAATAAGCGACTTGATTTTAAATTTGTCTACTAATTTTGTATTATTTTACCTCCTATTGTTAATTAAATACTTTGTTTAGACGTGAGTTAATTTATATTTATTTGATATGACGTAGACGAAAAATATCAGGCTTTTGAAAAATTTCCTTTAAAACTTAACATAATTTTATTATTCGACTACAACAGATACTACTAGAAACGAAAAACTGTAAAATTAGAAAAAGTCTCATAGATCAATAATTTATAAAAAGAATCTATAACTGCTTGATAAATCTTCAGGTAACTTTCTCTCTAATTTTCGATTATGAATATAATAAATAAGAAACTGAAGTGAAGAAATTAGAAATCCACAGAAGACCATGCAGATCATAGCAAGTGAAGCTTTGTTATAGGTAGGAGCATCATCAGCCCTAAATAGCTGGCTCCCAGCCATTAAACCAATCATTGCAAACATAACCCACAATGCAATTGAAATACTTCTTTCTTGAGGCGATCTACAATTCAATTGTAACCAAGTATTCTGAACGGGATGATAACCAACTGCAAAAGCATTCACTAAAGTCCACAACCCAAAAACTTTCCATCGATCCGAATTAACGCGAGGAAGTATCTCATGAAGAATTATTAGCGTAATACCATATAGAAGGGTTGCAACTAAAACCGTCAAGCCTCTGGCATTAGTTTTATCACTTAGTATACCAAACAAAAACACAACGAAAACTGCTAAAAATCCACCTACTGCAGTTAATGCGTTCGCTTGAATTCGAGTAAATCCAGCACTTTGTATAATGGTAGGAGTATAAGTAGTTAACGGGCTCCAAGTTGCGAAGACAATAGCTGTCGCAAATAAATGTGGGTATCTTCTCCATTGTAAGACAGATTCCTTTATGTGTTGTTTTGTAATTGGATGTAATTGTTCATCTGTATTTTCTTCTCCGGTTAATCTATTCTTAAGTATAAATATTTCTCGATCAGAAAAGAAAGATAGTTTCTTGGAAAGCAATGGATATGGATGCATTGGAGATCCAGGCAAGAAGAGGAAAATTAGTAATCCAACTACAATGGTTAACAATCCCTCAAGGAGAAATATCCACCTCCATCCAGCTATGTTTCCTTTTCCTGCCAACAAAAGAATAGCCGAACAAAGTATTGGACTTAAAGCGTATCCACCAAACATTCCAAAGAAATAAATAGATGTTCGTTTAGCACGTTCGGTCTTTTTATACCTATTTGAAGTTAGTACTGATTAAAGTATTTTTGTTTTAATTAACTCCTAATGCCATACGAATTAGCAAAAGCCATTTGTAAAAGATAGGAGTTAATATCCAGATCAGATTCAAAGGTACGTACCAGTTCGAGATTATATAGCATGCTCCTGGAATATATCCACTTTCTGCAATTCCAAGCATGAAACGAGAAGCATAAAATCCCGACTTATTCTTTAGAAATATTTGCATGATAGCAACAAAACCAAATACCAAAATCTGGAAAGGAAGCCATTTTCTCGGACCAAATTTCATTAGTAGCATATTAGAAGGAATTTCTAACAAGAAAATACCCAAGAACATCAACTCATTTCCAACGTTGATTTCAGCTTGATTAACATGTACATCTTCTTGAAACCTCCAGTTAATGCACTCGCAAGGTTCATCCTATCAAATTGAAACACGGTTAGCCCAAGAGTAAGTAAAAGCAAAACCACAAAATCTACTTTTAGAACAACAAGTCCCTCTTCCCTTGATGTCCAATCATCATAATTGGAATCGTTGGAATCTTTCTCGTAGGTATCATTGTCATGGCTTACTATGGACGACTTGGATATCTCGTTTTGCTTCTCTCCATGGGTAATCATGCTGATAATCTACTATGATATTGTATCAAGGTATAACTGGATATTTTAATCCTATTTTGTACTAAAAATTTTTGAAAATGATTCGGAGCTATCAAATTGTAACTCTGTCGAGATAATATTCTACATTATAATACTTCAGTATGTGTTTTTAGTAGGACACCAAAATGATATGATAGTCATACTCGAGATTTGATGCTAAAATTTCGCAATTTTTCATAAAATTTTTTGGCAGCCACAATCCACAGTTTTGTACATTTTAATACATTCATAATCCTTATTTTTATGAAGGTCCACTAAAATCAAGCCATAGTAGTTTATACAGATTTTCATATTAACAATGTCAATTAAATCTATTGCAATTATAGGAGGAGGGCCTAGTGGGCTCATCACATTGGATGCGTTGATACGCGAAAAATTGTTTGACAATATTAGGCTTTTTGAAAGAAGAGATCAGGCAGGCGGCTGCTGGATTTATGATGATAAACCTCCTGAGCCGTTGCCAGAAATTCAAAAGTTAAGTAATAGAACTGCTGATGAACCCCTGCCAGTCCCTGAAGGGTTACCTAGATATGTTCCTAAATCGAGTAAGCAAAGATTTCTTGACACTGCCACGTATTCATCTTTGGAATCAAATGTTGAAGCGAATGCTATGGAATTTTCGGAGGAGCCATTCCCTATTGGAGGAAGCAATATTTCTGTTGAAAAATATGGGGAGGGGACTCCATTCAGGCATAATACAGTAATCAAAGGCTGGCTTCATGATTTATATAAGAGAAAAGGTTACGATGATCATGTTGAGTTTAATACTTCTGTCGAATTAGTTTCCAAAAATGAAGCCACTAATCAATGGGAAGTAACTTTAAGACGGTTTGGTAAAAAATATGATTATGTGTGGACCGAAAGCTTTGATGCAGTTGTAGTGGCAAGTGGACATTATGACGTGCCATACGTCCCTAACATCGCTGGTTTACAACAGTTTTATAATAATCCAAAAAATACTGTTATCCATACTAAGGCTTATAGATCAAGGGAGTATTTTAGAAATAAGAAAACTATCGTTGTTGGTGCCTCGGTTTCCGCAATGGATGCTATTCAAGATATTCTACAAATATCTGACACTAAAATCATTTCTTCCCAAAAGAAAACTAGTCAGCCGCATACTTATTTTGGTACGGCTGCATTTGAACATCCATTGGTGGAAAAGCATGGTGAAATCATCAAAATTGATAATGAAAAAGGTATAATTTACTTTGATGACGATACGGCTGTATCAGATGTGGACAGCATTATCTTTGGAACTGGGTTTTCTTTCAGTTACCCATTCTTACCTAATTTAGATCTTACTGGTAATAGAGTTCAGGGCCTATATCAGCATATTTTCAAGATTGGGGATGAAACTTTATCATTTGTAGGTGCTATCGCTGCCGGTTTAACATTCAAGGCCTTCGAATGGCAAGCTGTTTCTGTTGCGAGAGTATTTTCAGGAAGAGCCAAGTTGCCATCGGTCCAAGAACAGATAAAATGGGAACAGGACAGAATATCAGTAAGAGGAAATGGGCAGAAGTTTATTACATTGTATCCACATTTTGAAGAATATTTTGAAACGTTGCGTAGATTAGCAGGGGAAGAAGGTCCCGGAAGGAAGTTACCTAAGTTTGAAAAGTCATGGCTTGATAACTTTCTTAGAGGCCATCAAAGAAGAATTAATTATTGGATCCAAAATAATTATAAGCAAGATCAAAAGCTAGAGGGACAGAGAAAATCAGGGTCGAATGATGAATCGGAGTTGGGAAAAAATACACAATCCGCCGCAGTCAATGGATATACTGTTAAAAAGAGAAGTATTCATCTATGAACGATTATTCAAATCTAAGGCTATTCTATATAAATGATATAAATAGGAGTATAGAAATATACATTAAGAAAAATCTCATTCAAATTATAAAACACAATATATTCATTAAACTAATATTGGTTCTATTAATATTGATCCCAATTCCAAGATGCATTTCCCGGATTAACTAATTCATTCTCGTTCTGAGAATATCTTAAACCATGATCAACACCTTGGGAAAGAATAACACTCAAATAGAATAAGAAATCGGCCGGATTGAAACCCTGAGCATATTTGGCTTTTCCAGCCTTTAATGCTTCTTCAGCCGATTCATTTTTAACAGCAAGTTTCACATTATGATCCTTCTCATATCTTTCAACAACTTGACTAGGCGTGATTAAACCCGATTGGATTCTTATTTTGTCAGGTAATTTGGAAGGATCAATAGCCGCGATTGCTACAACCGATCTACCAATATCATTAACGTGAGTAAAGGAAAACTTAATATTTGGATCTCCCCTGTAAGTAACAGTCTTTGATTCTGAATCAATACCGACTTGTCCCACAATTTCATATAAGAAAGCTCCTGGAGAAGCAAATAATGAAGTTATAACATCAACCGTCTTAATACCCACATCCCTAACTGCTTTAGAGTGTTTTGTCTTAATATCCAAAAATCCTGGAAACACTTTATCAGACTTATCAATTTCTGTTCCAAATTGAGAGGGAATGAATAATTTGGGCTTTACTTGTTTGACCAAAGTTTCGACCGGACCGTAGACTTTGGGGCCAGATAACTCGATAATGACATCGACGCCTTTGAATGATTCAACTACCTTATCAATTCCTTCATCATCTAAAGAACCCTGGATATATTCAATTTTATCAGTTGAAGGCTTGGATGATCTGGATAATGCTTTGATTGGAAACTGAAATTTGTCTGCAAAAATAGAACTTTCAAAAGCATCCAATGTAGGTTTACCTAAAAATCCTGAGGTACCAATAATAGCAACAGTTGGCTTGGTCATCTTATTTATATTCTGAGTTTATTTAAAGTAGTAGTTACAATATTAACTATGATATAAGGAATAATAAAACCCCACATCGTCATAGAATAACGACTAATATTTATACTTTTTGGCATATTCCTGATGCCACAGTGCTTCATTTTGTCAATCACTGCGTCTGACTAAAATATTGATTACATAAGCGATTTTACTAATTTGCAAATCAGTCGGATTTGTCAGATTTACTAATATACGTAATCAAATTTCGCAACATTTCACCATAATGTCGTTTATTAATCGTGAAAGTCTCAACAGTGGATGATAAGTATTGTATGTAATCAGATGAGCTGTGAAGTCATTCTTTTCGGCACGAACAAGGAGCTAGAGCTATTAATAAGTATTTATAATAATAAGTGGTACAGTTTTCCGTGAATATGAGAATCGTTTATTGTGCTCTGAAAATTAAGGTTAGAAAATTGCTGCAATTAGTATACTATTTACTTACATGGAAAAAACTAAGTTCACTGCATAGGATTTTATACTATGCCCCGTAATAGAATACAATTAGAATAGTTTAGGAAACACATTGGCACAGCATAAACTTAGTTAATGAACGAAACGCCATCCTTTGGTCTCTCATCCACAGTCAATTTGAATATATCATTACGGGCGTAATGACCTGTGACATCGAGATCATATCTTGCTTCCACAATCGTGTCTAAATCTATTTCTGCTGTCAATAAGCCCTCTTCTCCCGCAAGGGGCCCAGCAATAATATCACCATATGGATTGACAATTACGGACCCGCCATTGATGCAATTTTTGCCTCTTTCCCAACCTGGCAAATCTAAACCACATTCTTCAGGGGTTGGTAAGAATTGTACTGCAGATATGACAAATAATCTTCCTTCAGTGCCGATAGTTCTCATTAATGATTTCCAAATCTCACGGTCGTCTACAGTCGGGGCACAATAAACATTTATTCCTTTGGCATACATGGTTGCACGGTATAATGGCATATAATTCTCCCAGCAAATAGCGCCACCTAGTTTACCAAGGTGTTTATTATCCGGTGTAATTAGACCGGAGCCATCACCCTGACCCCATACCAATCTCTCAGAAGCTGTAGGCATTAACTTTCTATGTTTTCCAATATATCCTACCTCCGGATCAATGTATATCATAGTGCAATATAATGTTGCTCCATCCTTTTCTATCGCTCCAATAACAAGGGTAGCACCTGTCCGCTTACTGAAATCCAGTAAGGCTTCTGTTTCAGGACCTGGAAGCGAGATAGCACTTCTGTGATATTTAGCAAACTCTTCTCGTCCCGATTGAGTACGATAACCTAAATACGTGCCAAATGTCGAGCCTTTCGGGTATCCTCCTATGGTCGCTTCTGGCATAACGACTAGTTGCACATTTGATTCTTTGATTCGTGATTCATAACTCATAATTTTTTCCATGGTAGCTTTAGTCCCCAAAGGAGATGCCCCAATTTGAAGAGCAGCAACATTGTGTTTCATTTTCGAGTTTTAAAGATATATAGAAGTATTCCATAGTATATTCCTAAGGCTTCTAATTAGTGGATATGAGAAAATGTGTTTCTACCAAAAGTGATAATCCTTGAAAAGCCATATTGGTACTATAAGATTGAATATGCTGTATAGGTCATGACAAAGCGTGCTCAAGTATGTGATAGGTGTCGGGTTTTAAAAAAAGGATGTTATGGTTCTGATGATTGTTGTATCAATTGCAGCATTGCTAAGATTAGTTGCGAAACAACTGCTAGACTTAAACGAAAAAGAAAGCCGAACTCGTCATTTCAGAGCATACCTAATTCTTCTGAGATTGAAGACTATAAGTGTCAAATAGAAACTCTAAAAGACGAAATTGAAATCTTAAAACAGAAAAATGTACGAAAAGACAGTGACGATAACTTAATTATCCAGCATCTTGGTAGAATGCTACCTTCAACGAAGAATACAAATGGTGAATCAATATTTGCAGGTTCCTCTACAGGGGTATTTTTTATTAGCCAAGTTCAACAGGATGTTCAAAGGCTTAAACAAACGATAAATTCAAATATAAATCCTAGTGAACTCTTTTCCGAATCTTCCTATTTAGCGTATCGTTCAAGCAATATGGATCCGCAGCAGACGACACAGAATAATATTGACCAAACGATAATAGTCCTTAATGAAATAGACATAAGCAGTCTCATTAGAAACTTTTTTGAAAAATGGCATCCCATGTATCCCATTTTTGATGAGGGTTCTTGTCTTGCATATTCTTCAGATTTTAATATCATGGAACTAACAAAGAAAATTAACTTTATTAAAAGTAGCAATGACCCATTAAAACAATTACCTACGCTTTATTGTTTTCTAATGATAGTATCTATTCAAATGGTAACTTTAGATTACAAATGCTCGGTTTCTTTATTCCAATATTTACAGGATAATTTATTAATAAGATTAATGAATTTCTCGTCTCTTGAGACTTTACAATGTTATTTGGTTACAATGTTATATCTACAGATTATTGGCGATCACGAATTGTGTATTCAATTCAATGGGAAGTCTGTCAGATTAGCATTTTTATACGGATTACATCGTCATTCTCAGAGGTTTAAATTCAATAAAGAGGTTTCAGAAGAAAGAAAAAAAATATGGTGGTGTACGTATTGCTTTGATATACTAGTAAGCTGTAATAATGGGCTCCCGAGATTAATTAATGATGAAGATGTCGACACAGACTTGCCCTTAAATATAAATGGATTTAAGCCAAGCGTAGATAAAAAGGAAAAGGAGGCAGTATTACCCTTGCCAGGAGAAGAGTCTAGTGTTTCATTATTTATTTCGATTATCAAGCTATGCCAGATATTAAGTTTAATTATGAAAAGTCTTTATACAACTACGCAAAGACGAAATGGTAATATTAAAATTGAGCAGTTAAGAAATCGCTTGAATAATTGGAAGTCAGACTATGGGAGCGTTGAGTCTATTAATGACAGTGAAGTGCATTATTATGGTAAATATTATCTTCTGTTGCTTTATTATACGTGTATGATTCATTTATATCGCCCTGGTTTAACATATCCTAAATCTTCACCTTCATTTGAAAGATGTTTGGCGGAAAGTTTAAAGATCAGTAAAAACTTTATTGAATTGTTTGCTAATTATAGTAGAAAATTTTCTGAGATTTATTTTATTTATCCATGTGGCTTTCATTTACTATTCCAGTCTGGGTTGTTAATACTATGGAACGAAATTTTTGTTATAGCAGATAAATCTACTACACATGAGACAAAAATAGATGATGTTCAAAAATATATACATCTTTGCTCAGATTGTTTGTATTCATGTGAAAATAATGCTTTATTTAAATATAGGTCAAGTATCGCTAAGAACTGTGGGAACACAATACATGTGCTTAATAAATCTGTTTTGAGCTATTATCACACCTTAGACGAGCCACTGATTGAGGATAATGACGGAGAAAAATATAAGAATATCAGTAATTTTTTAAATGATTCATGGAATGAAAATCTTGAATTGATTAACTTTTTTGAATTATCTCCAAGTTTTTTAAATAATTCAATAAATTACAACCTTGATGAGAACATTTATTGAGTATTTAAATTTAGTATATAATTAATGAATTTACTTCAAATTCAAAACATCGTCGATCATATAAGAGGAACAACCCAAATAATTGATTGGGTCACATAATTTTTTTAATACCTGAAGATCGACTTTGTCAATTATCTTTTGTTCATATCTTAAAATATCATATAAAGCAGTTTTACCATCATGAGCTGTAACGCAGCATTTATATACAATTTCATGTGCATCGTGTCTACCAATGAAAGGAGCAAGGCCCATCATTACGGCTTCTGCAACGATTAGTCCTTTAGTTGATTCAAGGTTACGTAGCATTGAATCAGTTTTAACCTCTAATCCACCTAAAGCAAATTTCATTTGGTGTAAAGAACCAACAGTAGAAATAAATGATTCTGGTATAGCTACCCATTCTAGATGCCAAGGGCCTGATGCTCTTTCAAAATCTGCAACTAGTCCATCTAGAACTAATCCAGCATTTGCACGAACAACCTTTGATGCGGCCAAAATATACTCTGAAGAAATAGGGTTTCTTTTTTGAGGCATAGTAGACGATGCTCCTCTATGGGCAACATATGGTTCGGAGACTTCGTCGAGCTCATTCGATGACATTGCAATGATATCAAGTGCTATCTTTCCTAAAGAGCCACAAATAATGGCAAGGAGATTAATGATTTCGGCAATTCCATCTCTTGCTACATGCCATGTAATAGATGGGTTATTTAAACCTAGCAAGTTTGCTAACTTAGCCCTAACATTCAAGCCTTTATTTGAATCATTTCCTAAAGACGCTAACGTTCCAGCTGCACCACCGAATTGAACCAACAAACATCTTGGTTTTAATTCTTGTAGCCTACTGAAAGATCTCTGTAAACTCGAAAGCCATATCGCACATTTATATCCAAAAGTTATTGGTAAGGCATGTTGCCAATGAGTTCTACCTGCCATTGGAGTTTCTTTATATTTTTGGGCCAAATCTTTCAATATCAGTATTAAATCCAACAAGTATGTCTCAACTATTTCCAAGGCCTTCTTAATTTGTAACATAGAAGCAGTATCCATAATATCCTGAGTTGTTGCCCCCCAGTGAAGATACCCACCTAAATTTTCGGGGAACTGAGTAGTTAGCTGGTTTAGTAAAGGTAATACACAATATCCAACTATATCAGTTTGCTCTCCAAGTAAAGATTTATCAATAGAAAAGCGACCTAAGTCCTTACCAAATTCATAAATTGCATCACCAATACTGTTAGGAATAACATCACATTGTCCTTCAGCTTTTGCTAACGATATTTCTGTCGTTATCATATTTCTGATATAGGAATCATCACTGAAGACCTCCCTGATTTCTTGGGTACCAAAGATATTCTTAAATAGACATGAATCGTATGCAGTCGACATCATATATGTTATTGCTATATTTTAAATGATCATCAACTTAATGATTAACTTATTCTATTTAGAAGATATCTAAGCTTATTTATGTTATGGGGTTGATCGGCTAACCCGTCGGTATAAAATTAATCGTTCTAATTCCGTCGGCATAATTCAGAATAACTATCAATTCCACCGGGATAGATCTGGTGCGACCTCATGTTCCCCACAAAAATTTTAATGCATTAAAAATCTATATAAGTGCTTAATACAATGCTTATTTTGGGATGATTTACTAACCTTAGAAACTAACAGGACTTACAAACATCTGCAAGCTATGGTGGTAATAAACAACGATAAAATCCCGAAGTATCTCGGTCTTTCTGGTCATGCACTAGTAACGTCTCAGACTTTGTTAATTGGCCTTCCTTCTTTTGTATTATTTGGCTATAATCAAAGTGGTATGGGTGGTGCATTATCTTTGCCAGAATTTGGCAAATATTTTCCAATGCTATCTACTTTAAACAAAGAAGGAAGTGCTAAATCGCAAGCCTCAACACTTCAAGGTGTATTCGTTTCTACATTTTCATTAGGTGCTCTTCTTGGTGCAGCATTTTGTTCATTCTTTGGTGATCATCTTGGAAGGAAAAAAACTATTCTATTGGGTGCAATATTAGTATTAATTGGGGAAATTCTAGAATGCTCTGCCTTTAATGTTGGCCAATTATGCACCGGTAGAACCATTCTTGGTGTCGGAATTGGTATTTTGAATGTCACTGTACCTACTTGGCAGAGCGAATGCTCAAAACCAAAAAACAGAGGAAAACATGTAGCACTAGATGGTGCATTTATTTCATTAGGCTATTTACTCACAAATTGGATTTCCTTTGGTTTCTATATGGGTAGTCACAGTCAGGCAACTTGGAGGGTTCCAATAGCAATAGGAGCTATTTTTAATTTCCCTTTAATTTTTGCAATCATCAAACTTCCTGAATCTCCGAGATGGTTGATAATGAAAGGACGAGTTGGCGAAGCACAAAAAGTACTAGCTTCGATTAATGAGAGAGAAATTGAGGATGATATAATTCTTCAAGAGATTGAAAATATAGAAATCGTTAATAGCCAATCAACTCAAGCAGATGGGAACTTTAAAGAGCTTTTTAAAATGGGAGAAGACAAGCTTTTAATGAGGTTTTTAATGTGTATGGCATTACAATGTTTACAGCAAATGTCTGGTGGTAATTTAATATCGGTCTATTCAACAACCTTATATGAAGAGAGTTTAGAAATGAGCGGCGAACTTTCAAGAATCCTTGCGAGTTGCACAATGACATTCAAATTTCTTTGTGGTTTCATTGCATTTTTCACAGTTGATAGATATGGTAGAAGACTTTTGTTGACGATTAGTGGAAGTGGTATGGCTCTTTGTATGCTTTTTCTAGCTGTAACTACAAGCCAACCTGATAACTTCAGTGCAAATATCGCTTCGGTATTTTTTATTTTTGCCTTCAATTTCTTCATTCCCATTGGTTTTCTTGGAATAAATTGGCTCTATGTAACAGAAATATCTCCAACAAAATACCGTACTTATATTTCGTCTATACTGAGTGCTAATAATTGGATTTGGAATTTCGTTGTCACTATGATCACCCCAGTAGCTATCCAATCGATAGCATATAGATATTATATAATTTATGCTGTTATCGGGGCTTTGATCCCTATAATGGTTTTAACTTTTTTTCCTGAGACACTGGGTTTAGAATTAGAAGCAATTGATGTTATATTCAAAAAATCATCTTCACCCTGGACAGTGGTGAAGACTGCGAAAAAAGAACGGAAAACTTTACTTAGCAGTGATTTAAGCCAAACAAAGGAATTAAGGTCGCAATTACAACCTAAGCCTTATTCCGAACAACACTCTTTTGTTCATTGTGGTAAGGGAGAAAAGAGTGTTGAGACTATTTCTATAGTTTAAGTTTGTAATTTTCGTTTTACCATTGTTGATATTTTTAGCCCTTATTTGATATAAAGTGTTTACTGTTAATGATAATTTTAACTCGTTTAGAAGCCATGTAGAATAAAGAACTATTTTAGTTAAAATTCTTGACATTTGAATTAAGCTTAATATTCAAGAAGCCATGAGCTACAAGACTTAATTTTGGGGATATTAGTATAATTAAAAAGCAAGTACTATTCTTTTTAAAAAGCCCAATTTACTTATATTTAACTTTTCTCTGGTAGCGCCTATTCAGAATGTCTTCTTCTGGTCTCACATTAAACAACAAAAATATGGCATACTACAAGTTGCGAATTGTTGAGCTAAGGTCGCAAAGATTCTTAATGTCAACGCGACTTTTCCATATCCCCCACTAATATTTAGTTTCCCCAGCTGAATATCGGATAGGGTATTAATATATATAACCCCCACTGTAAATGAAAAACTATAAAATCTAAGATGATTTCTACAATTCAAAAAGTCTATCTGTGTAATACAAATAAATATCTTTCATCATATTAATAATGAACAGACAATCATCTCATTTTAACGCATGGTCAACAAATCCACTTGAATCTAGAAAGGATGTGATTGAAGCTTTACACCAGCAATTGGAACCATTGATTCCCGCATTCACCGATGATGGTGCAAGAGTTAGTTTGGCAGATACTTCTGCCGTGTTTAGCATGGAAGCAGCCGAATTAGAAGGGTTTGCAAGGCCGCTATGGGGAATTGTACCCTTTGTATACGGAGGAGGCGAATTCAAGCATTGGGATTTATTTAGAACAGGTTTGTCCAATGGTACAAATCCAAGTAAACCAGAATACTGGGGGGATGTTCAAGATTATGATCAGCATTTAGTTGAATTAGCTGCTATTGGATTTGCCTTATGTTTTGTTTCAGAACATATTTGGAACCCTTTACTGGATGAAGCCAAAGAGAATTTGTCAAAGTTTTTGCTCAAGGCAAGAGAAAATGAATTTCCTCATTGTAATTGGAAATTCTTCAGGATAATGATTGATTTGGGGTTAGACAAGGTAGGCGTTGCATATGATAAATCTCTTACAGAAGCCTACATGGCTGATATAGATACCATGTATATTGATGAAGGTTGGTACGGTGATGGTGGCAATAATAGGATTGATTACTATAATCCATTCGCTTTACATTTTTATGGCATGATTTATTATCTCGCCATGAAAGATAGAGATCCAGAAAGAAGCAGTAAATATAAAAGTAGAGCGTTATTATTTGCTAAGCAATTTATCCATTGGTTCAGTGATGATGGAGCCTGTATTCCATTTGGTAGATCTTGTACTTATAGATTTGCCGTTGATGGATTCTGGGGTATGTTGGCATGTGTTACAAGAGCTGATGAAACCCCTGTCATTCCTTGGGGCGTGTTAAAAGGAGTATACTTGAGACATTTACGTTGGTGGTCGAAGCAACCAGTCTCATATTTCAAGACTAATATTTTGTCTGTTGGTTTCAGTTACCCTAATCAGTTTATGTGTGAGAATTACAACTCTCCGCAGTCTCCATATTGGTGTCTTAAAGCGTTTGCATCGTTAATATTACCTGAATCTCATCCCTTTTGGACATCGAAGGAGGAGCCATTATTATTAGAAGATGTAAACCTCAAGGTTCCTGGAATGTTAATTTCACACAATAAGGGAAATACTGTCTCATTAACTAGTGGGCCTTATCTGGCATTTATTAGACATCACGCTGAAAAATACAGTAAATTCGCTTACAGCTCTAGATATGGTTTCAATGTTGAAAATAATTTGAAAGCTTTCGGTTCAGCCTCGCTTGACAATATGATAGGCTTCAGTTTTAATGATAGAGATTTCTTCTTTAGAGAATCAAATAAATCATGGATTTTCAGAGATGGATTGTATTCAGAGTGGTCACCAGCTGGTGCAGAGAATATAGAAGTGAAAACATGGATTCTTCAACGGGGAAATTACCATATTAGAGTACACCACGTTCAGAATAATAGTTCAGAAGACGTGGTATCACTGGAAGGGGGATTTGCGGCCAATGTCATGCATGATGCAAATGTTAATAAATACATAACTGCTGATCCTAAGGCCATTGCTGAAATTGAAACCTCTAAAGATATTACTTTAGTTCTTAATTTAATGGAAGATAGGAAAGCAAGAGTTTGCAAGCCGGAACCAAATAGTAATTTAATTTCGTCTAAAGTTATTTTACCCCAATTAAAGGGGAGTATTCCAGCTAAGTCAACTGCTAAATTTGCTTGTGCCGTTTATGCCCAACCTAAAGGCGATTCTTTCAATAGGGATAAATTTTTGGAGAGTGTAAATGTTCCAAGCGAGAAAGAATTAGATGACCTAAAATCTGGTGCTGAGAGAGTTAAATGTAACATTCCCAGTAATAATGACGAGCTCATGGCTAAAATGATAAAGAAATTTCAAGAGGCTGATTAATCGCCAAGTATTCAGTATTTATAGGTTTATGCTAATTTACTTAGATATTGAATTGATAATTTCGTGAACATAAATACACAATAGCGGGATTTATAATTTCTGCTTTATTACTCAAATATCTAAAATTTTATAGTCAAGCTACAAATATTATGGTCAAATTAATACAAGTGATCATGAACTACCAAAATGACACTCGACTGATAAGATCATTGTATTGACTTTCAGAACATTCCTTCATTAGTACTCTCCCCCACCAAGATAAATTTTCATTCTCCAACTTTAAGCGAGAAGTGTATCGCATACTACCCCATTACTTTATCTGATAAAGACCAGTATGGTGGGTATCGGGTATCCACAGAGTAGATCTGCAGTCATGAAATATTATTTAAGTCGAGGATTCTAGCATTAAAACCATTATGTATGCGACTAAATGACAATTGAAAGAATGACTAGACAAACTTACTTAGATGCTATCAAGGATAAATTATATGGGGACTCTGCCGTTGAAAAATTTGGTGTGTTGCTTATCCTGCTTTGAGTAAAGTAGAGCCACCAGTGAATTCCCTGATTGCTCAAAAGGTGGTAGATATTCAACAAAGGAAGCATATTTGTGGGCCTCTGGGGTTTTTCCGGGATTACTTCATGCCTTGCAAGAAAGAAATGAAAAGTATCCGAATTACTTCCCTTCAAAAAAAGTCAATCCCCTTAAATTAGAATATGCAACCTGGTGGTGGTCCGAGCCCTTAGCTGCTAAAACTACCAATAAAGATAAACCATGATTTGGGTTTTATGATCATACCGGCTTTTAAGAAAGAATACGTACGCTCAAAACAAAAAGTCGGAAGATATTATAATCACTGCAGCGAATTCACTTGCTAGCAGGTTTGATGAGAAAGCTGGTTGCATTAGAAGTTGAATTGATTTCCATAGTATGAGTCCCTCTTCACATGAAGATGATTTGATGGTTATCATTGATAATATGTGCAATTTAAATTTATTGTATATAGGTGCTTACTTTAGTCGTGACTTGCGCTTATCTACTATAGCTACAACACATGCTAAAACCACATTAAGAAAATATTTTAGAAAGGATAGGTCGTCTTATCGTGTTGTGGTATAGGGAAAAAGAAACAGGAGAACCTGCATCCAAAAGTACAGGACAAGGATACGCTGATGAATCATCTTGAAGATGTCAGGCTTGGAGAGTATTAGGTTATGCTGAAACTTATTTCTCCACGATGAACCAAAAGTTTTTAGACGTTAAAAAAAATATAACCAAGTACTATTTGTCCCAATTACCAATAGACGGTATTCTACCATGGGATTTCCATGCACCTGATAAGCATATTAGAAGGCAACATCGGCTATTGCAGGAGCTTTTGGTATGCTTAAAATATACGAATACAGTAAGAAGAATATTTGGATAATGCTTTGAAACTTGTGAACGATTTCTTAAACTTGCAGTCACTGATGAAGCAGCGTTAAAGAATGCTGGAACAGTTGAATTTGGAAGCACCGACACAATCTTAAACAGCTCAACGTATAGCAATAATCCAAACTGTCCTGACGAACATAGAATGGCTGATCATGGATTGGTCTATGCAGATTATTACTTTTTGATGATTGCTAATAAATTGTTAGAATTATGACTCTATGAGTAGTATGGTTAAAGACGTTTATAATAATTTTGGCTAGTTAAGTTGTATGACACATTTCTTTTAAAACTTACCATAATGTATAGTTTATAATGTTGAGATAGAAGATAAACGAAATTTTACTGTATTACTGAATTAAATACTGTTCTTAATGCTTTTTGGTGGCCCTTTCTCCGACCGTAATAACAATTCCCATTCCTCATATTGAAATAACTTTGTTTCGATTTTTAACTAAAGTTTTTAGATTTACCTGTATAAAGCATGAAAGATTTGATTAGAGTATCGTGTATACCCCATCCAAACACGGTCAGACAACAACATTACAAGAAATTCAATGTATCCAATGACAATCAAGCAAGAATTCTGAGGGATTTCTTTTCTTTGTTTGATAGATGCGACTTCGTAGGGCATCAAACGCATGTTTATGTATGTTAAGCGCGATTGTCCATTAAAAAAAAATCTTTCGACTGCGTTTACATTTTTGGCTTAGAATTATTTGGAATACATCAATTAACCCTTGCAAAAACATAGGCATCTAAATTTGAAATCATCTTTAAGTGGATAGACATACCTTGATTCCCTTCATTGATATATAATTATTAGAGACCGGCATGCCGATCAACAAATATTATTTAACAAAACGCGCTTTGTTTACGAACATTACGCTTCGAGATACGTGCATGAGTTTTTTTTTGAAAATACCAACCAAAGTTGCATACCATGACTTACGAGAAAATTTTGTATAAATGAAAGCCAAAGTCCCAGTTTCTATTCAATGATCCTCAATAAGCATAGAGATATTTTCACTTAACCTTAGTCATTCGTTACATACCCTAGTATAATGTTTGTATCTCTTATTGTATCACAATTAATTTTGTTAATCAAAATTGTTTCAGCTTTAGAAGTTGGCTCCAGCAACAATGTTGCCGTTTATTGGGGCCAGAATTCAGGAGGTTCGCAGGACAGATTGAGCACCTACTGTGAATCAGACTCTGTTGATATTGTCTTATTATCCTTTTTAAACAACTTTCCAAATGATTTCAACTTAAATTTCGCTAACCAATGCGGTATGACTTTCGACGATGGAGTTTTACATTGTTCGGCAATTGGTGAAGACATTAAGACATGTCAAGCTGCTGGTAAGACCGTCTTATTATCATTAGGCGGTGGTATTGGAAATTATGGTTTCACATCAGATGCCGAGGCGGTGGACTTTGCTTCAACATTATGGAACAAGTTTGGTGCAGGTACCAACGATGCTGAAAGACCATTTGACGATGCTGTTGTTGATGGTTTTGATTTTGATGTTGAAAATAATAATCAAGTTGGATATGTCGCTTTAGCCAATGAATTAAGAACTTTGTTTGACCAAGATTCATCAAAGTCATATTATTTATCTGCTTCTCCTCAATGTCCTTACCCTGATCAATCAGTCGGTGACTTATTAAGCAACGCTAACCTTGATTTTGCATTTATTCAATTTTACAATAATTATTGTTCTTTAGACCAATCAGAATTCAACTGGAATGCATGGTCTGATTTTGCAAAGTCTGCTCCAAATGACGACATTAAATTATTTGTTGGATTACCAGGTGCTCCAGCCTCTGGAAATGGATATGTCGATGCCGCTACCGTTGCAAACACTATTGATGAAATTAAATGTGATCAAGCTTTAGGTGGAATCTCCTTATGGGATGCATCCTCCGCATTTTCTAATGTTAATGCTAATGATGTTAACTATATTGAACAAGTGGCTAACATTTTAAATTCAGAAGAATGTAACGCATCTACTTCAAGTAGCGTTGCTTCGTCCCAGACCACGCAATCAAGCTCTTCTTCTACCTCAAATGATATTACAGCAAGTGCAACTTCTTCTAATGAGATTACTGGCTCGCCAAGTGCCCTGAGTCTTGTCTCAACTTTACCACATTACTCAAATGGTTCTGTTACATCAGGTTTAGTTTCTTCTGATGAAGAAACTACAGCTACTGTAACTGGTATTCAAACAACTATAATCACTGTTACAAGCTGTTCTGATAACCATTGTTCAAAGGTTCCAATTGAGACTGGTGTTACTGTTGTTACTGAAGGCTCTACTTCATATACCACTTACTGTCCATTAGACAATACCCCAAGCACTCAAATAGTGTCAGATGTTGCTACAACTGTGGTTACCATTACCTCCTGTCAAGACAACAAGTGTGATCTTGCAACCATGACTACAGGTCTTACTGTTGTAACTGAGTTTGACACCGTCTATACTACTTATTGTCCATTGACTACTGAAACTACTACTGAAAACACAATCACTAACTCTGCATCTGTCATACAAAGTAACAAAACTATTGCATACTCTAGTGTTTACCCAACTTCTCAGAACCAAACTGCTGCAGCTATCGAAACGTATGCTGAAGGCATGGGTAATTTAGTTGCCGGTAGTTGGACGTTAGCAATTGCTGCTATTTTTGCTTCTTTGTTGTAGGTTCTGACCTATTGATGGATGAGTTATTTACAATAACCATATCTGCATCTTTGGTACTCTATGGAGAATGCTAGATAAAAGCAAAATAGTACATAAATTACTTTTGTTAACTCAGATCTTGTCACCAATTACATAGAATTAATATTCGTAATAAGAAGTGAATTTTACACACCGACTGTAGAAGATAACTGGTATAAAAAAAGAATATATATAAAATATCGGACTCTTAGAATAGGGCTCAAATATCAATATTACCGGAAGATGATAATGAATATCAACAGCGCTGTCCGCCAATGTTGAAATTATTATATCCAGAGATTACTCAAGAATAAAAAATATAATACCCACAGATACCTGTGTGAGAAGTTTGGAAAAGTGCGATATTCTAAAGCTGACAAAAATATTAGAATGTGTCGATATTTATTATAGAATTAGTCGTTATTATCCCGGTATTCTGAGTAAATGAAAACTTGAACATAAGCACGGAGACGCTTGCTCTTGAATGATATTTCTTGAATATGCCTTTGTGGTATTTTTAAAATTGAAATATATACATAGCCAATTAATACATCTATTTGACTAAAAAATTTTCAATGGGAGTTCTTTTCACAGTTATATGTTCTGGTTAACCGTCTAATATGTTTAGTCCAAGGTTAAATAAACATTTCTACAACAAGTAGAATTCCCGTAAATGGAAATTTGCGGCCTTTGCCTCGCGCGTCCACATCCATTATAGCCTTTAGTTTCGTACAATGAAAATAGATTGAAAAAATAAGTATTAATTCAGAAGCACTCTTACATTACTCTAATTGATTCCTTTTATATTCAATCTTAAAAACTTAATCGTGAAAGAAATTACTATTAGTTCTAATGTAATTTTAAAGTACACAAAATACTAAATAAAAAAGAACATATATTGTTATGCTTAGCGAATTTTAAGAGATCCCTTATTTTTATTATTTTGTATTTTTGAATACTTCACTATGTTTAAAAAGGTTACTATATGTCAAAATTTTAGTTAAGTTATATTGTCAGATATCACGGAAGGTCAAATATCAAAGTACAGAAATCTGATATTAAAAATATTAATTGTTCTATTCAAAAGAACTGAATTCATACAGAGCAAAATTAACTGCTGGTTGGGTGTCAACACCGTATACTTGGAACTCATTCTGTGCCCATTGTGGGTTATTAATGCCATCAATCCATTGTTGTGGCTCAATCACAACACATCCATACTGTTCTAAATATGTTGTATCATTTCCATGTTGCTGGCTTTTCTTGACTGGAATTGTACCATCTTGTCCGTCACAACTATATATCTGTAACGATTGTTGGTTTGTTTTCAACTCCATTTTAATTCCTGTCTTATTTGATTGTAAAGTAAGGAGAACCAAGTCTGTTGACTCGGGAGCGGAATACCTTGGACGATCCAAAATAAATGCAGTATCGAGACCAGTGCATTTTGGACCACAACCCCCTACTGCTTGCATGATGTTAGTTCCTAGTTCAATAGGTTCAATGAAATCTGTTCCAGCGTTATCTTGAACAAGGTTAATGTCACCCGTCGGAACCAAATATTTATCGGTCTCGATGTATCTGTTTGAATATGGCATCGACAACATATCATTCAAGATAGTAGGATTTTGAGCATCGGTAAAAGCATTCAAACTCCAGTATATGTGATTCGAAAGCAGGATTGGGGTAGCACCATCTAAAGGGATACTCACTAGCCTAGTAGTCAATATTGGCCGTCTGTCTCTAGTTTTCACTGCGTAAGTGGCATAAGTGATTACCCTACCTGGGAAGCCTTCATATCCATTATCTTCAAGCATAAATGTAATGCTAGATTGATTATATGATGTAACAGTCCAGTTGCGTTGGTCATATCCAACAGTTCCACCATGAAGCGTGTTAGTTCCGTTATTTTCATTCCTAGGAATATGGTATGTTTCGTCGTCAATTTCAAACGTACCATTATTGATACGATTCGCGTATCGTCCTACAACTGCACCAAAGTAAGAATGAACCGTATCAGTATCATTGATATATGCGTCGCCTTTGTCATACCCCACAACTACATCCTGTGGATTACCATCTCTATCTCTTACTAATAAATGTGTCAACCTAGCACCGTAGGGCATGAATGTTGCTCTAATACCACTAGATTTGATGGAATAGAAATCAACATGAGTGTTTGAGCTACTACTCATATTTTTTCCTCCACGATTGTTATTCGCTAAAATATCCGAACCGTTAAATGATGATGCGTCAACTAAAGTGATCGAGGCTAAGGCAATAATTACAGTAAATAATCTCATTTTTTTCATATTTGCTATTAGTTGCTTTTATGAATTATTTTTGGCTGCAGTCTATATATATATACATATATTATATAATAGACCTCTGATACTTGGTTTTTTTACATTCTCCTCATTGCAAAACGCAACTTCTTTTAATCTGCATTATTCCAATTTGGTATGATTAATTACTTCTTTTGGCTTTGAGACCTCCTGATTATAGCTGAATTAATAAAATGTAATGTTACATTTGATTATTCGCTTTCTCCACACTTTATCTAAGTGTGGACAGCATCACAAATTAAAAACTTCTACATTCGAGAATATTCAACGGCTGTTTGTCAGGAGGTAATGATTAAACCTATAAAAAACAATAACTGTTATTGTTCAAAAGTATAAGTTATAAGTTCTCAAGTGCAAATTCTCCGTAATAAAAATGTTAGAGACACCCGAATAGCATCAAAGTTGATTTGAATCTTCCGATCGAATAATTAAGCTTAAAAAGATCAAGAATATAGATTTTCCCCGTTAAGTAAGATATCAGTTAACCCAAGAGACTCCATTGAAGTGGCCCGATTATTATGTCCTAATTTAGAAGCAGGTAAATATATAACTAGAAGGAATTGAGTGTTAGAATATAAAAATAAAATGCAAGAAAGTGTACATGGAAACACATCTATTGCACCTGCTGTTGTTGATTCTTATAAAAAGAGATTCGTCTTTTAAAATATATTATACTAAAATTTCACCACCTTCTAATATGTAATTACGGTTCAATATTAAAATGAGCATTTAAATACCTTTTTCGAAGCTCTTGAATTAAATTTTAAGTATTAAATGGCAATACTTATAAATATTTGATTACGAAAAAGAAATAGATTCTGCACTTCAAGATGAATTTCTTGGAATATCTGTTTATGAAGATAGAGAAACTATGAACAAGTTCTTATCTCCAAAATATGTGCAATAGAATCCATATTTAGGCGAAAGACCAAATTCATTTGAGTATTCTAGGAATAAAAAAGAGCAAACTAAAAAGGAACCTGTTTTTGTGGACCACCTACACTTATTTTCAAGAGATTTCCTGTTGATGAAGATAACTTGCAGTTCATTTACATTGGCTTAACTATCCTGGTGATCTTGGTTTTAAAACGGATTTAAATGGAATACTGAACAATTCTCTGTACATTGGGATTGTAACCAAAATGTACTTGATCGTATATTTGCACATAATTCAAAAGAACTAGTCAAAAACATGAGAGAAAAAATCACAAGCCCACTAATCCAATAGATTTAAGGGCTGTAGATACTGCAGAAGCCGGGTTAGAGCCTGTTATGATTCTACCATCGGTTACTATGTGTTCTTCAAAAGGCGCATCTGGTCGACTAAAATTTGCACCCAATCTCTTACATAGTTCTTCAATCGAACCAAGATGATCCTTTTTCAAAGTTCGATCAACACCAATAATTTCCTCTCCCTCATGAGTGAAGCCAGTAATTGTTTTGCTTTCAACCAATAATTTACTGGGATTTTCTGGGTCGTATAATCCATCAAAAATATTGGAACCGTGACTAACAGCAGCTATTACGCCGTTGTTCTTCCAAATATGCTGAGCAATTTTGTGCAACCCATTGGCTTGGGGAAAATCAAAAGCTGTACCATGACCACCAGGGAAAAATATAATTTGATATTCGTCTGGATTTATTTGCGAAGCCTTTTTCATTTTTGAAATTGAGACGTTGAAGTCGGAGCTTTTATTATTGAACACATCCAAATCCTTCCCATTAAGGAACATAGGATCAAGCGAGTTTACGTCATATCCAAAGGTTCCATTTTCAGAGACAAAATCTGCTTCAATATCGTTTTCCTTAAATACTAAAAATGGGTGTAATGCCTCGCTCACAAATACCCCGGTTTTGGACCCGTTCTCGTAAAATTTATCATGATACGATGTCACTGCTATTAATGCTTTAACCATTTTTGCTAATATTAATTGATATAATATTGAAGAACTGTATATATAACTGAGAAACAATGCCTTTAAATATAATAGAGAAATCATACTCCTCTAATGGAAGGTTAAAGTTACAATTGCTATGTCTAACCAATTATTAGGTTATAATTGCTGTGGGTTTAAAAAAGCCTGATATATCACGTTCTCCAGTCAGGAATATGTAGTTGCATGCAAGATAGTACTTTATTTCCAACATGACAACAAGTAGATTACGACTTTCTTTTAATTCAAAATTAGCTATTTTGGTATATGTACGTTCCAAGGACTGTCATTTTGCTATTATTAATGGATGGCGTTATTGAAATTAACCCTCAATCACCGATCTAGACGCACAAAAGCTTTACACAAATTTCAAATTATGTAGTATCAGAGATACCAGAGAGAGGTTTGTTGTATCAGTCAAATCCATGTTGTACGTGTAAAGCTTTTCTAAATTAGAATTCCTCTAGAGAAACAAATTGAAAAAGTAGAGCAAACAATACTACGATACACGCCACAAAACATCGCTCTTGCCTCGATACAATAATGACTAATAAATCAGAGGAAAGGTCATTGATAAACCTAATCTGAGCAATATGTGCATAAGTTTGGGTTGTCCGTCATCTATGTTTAGTTACCTGTGATTTTTTTCCCTCTTTCTTTATTAAACGTGGCAGTGAGTAACTAAATATTTATTGTGGGATTTTTAGAGCTCTTGATTTCTTACTTAATTAAGATATGAATTGAATTGATCATTTCATTACATAAGTACATACTAATGACCGTTTTCATTAGTTTTCTGTAAATTGAATTAAGATTTTAGAAACTACAATTTTCTTAATATTGAATTCTAGAAATAATATCAAGAGGACACCCCAATATTGTACTAATCGAAGTAAATGAAACCTCTAAATTCTGTCATGAATTTGAATTTGTAATATAAACAGTGGCTAACCACTTCTTTATTATTTACTGCAATAGCATATAATGTTGAAGCTTTTCCCAAAAAGCACATTTTTTTATTGTCCTCCTGAATTCCTTTACTTTAACTATCAAATCATCCTAATTTCAGCTTCGGAAACCCCGTACACAATATTCTGACTACCTATTATTGAAAAGAGTATGTTGAGGCGTAGGGTGGCACATATTATTGTGCCAAGTAATGATTTAATTAATTCTCGTTGAGGTATTGTTGTGGTTAATGCTTTAAAAAATACCACATGCCAGTAACTGTAATGAAATCCATAATCAGCCTCTTTCGAACATAATAAAGCATTAGATTTTACAATGAAAATAAATTGCTTTCTCATACAAAATGTTGTGAAACAAGCTAGCGAATCAGTTCTGAACATAAAATTGGATGAAATTAAAACATTTAATCATATAATATGAACATATGAACATTAGAGTTGAAAGATGCAAAAATCTCAGTAAGTGTTTAATCACTTATGACAAAAGATTCATTTTTGAATTTCTTAACTCTCAATATTTAAAGATTAATATGTTATTTTTGTTCAAAAGAAGAATTGAAGCATATTTGTTCAGATATACTATTTCGAAAGTAGGTTTTGTATAATTTCTAGTAGACGAGATATTTATTCAACGTCATAGAATAAAAGGAGTATGGGAAATATTGGAAGATATGTAAATATGTCTTAGATATTATGGTTTCCTGATAGTATATTTCATTGTGGCCCAAAAATGTCAGTATATGAAATTCTACAGTATTTATTCCATAAAAATATCGGAAGTTGAAGCCGGGGAAAAATCTATTGAGGTAACTGCTGTTGAACAATTAAGGTATAAGAAATGAGTAGGTGCCCCACTTTACTTTTCCGAACTTTTGATTTTCCAGATATTTAAGAAGTGATAACCAGACCATAAAAACATTCGTAGATACATCACTTGAAACAATATACTTGATAGCATAGATAAATATGACAAGTAAGCGTATATCTTGTTCTTCCTCTATATATATCGATATCGAGAAGACAAGTATTGATTATGTTGAGGTTTCTCCTGACGCTCCAGAAATGATCATTATGATTATCATATAAAAAGACATGGCTCAGTGCACTTATATTTTCTATTCCCTCTAATGACCCGCTGGATCCTCTTAACTGGACAGACAGAAAGAAGAATTTTGAAATTATTTTAATAGCGTTCCAGACCTTCAGTAGCTCTTATATGGCAGCTTGATTAACTCCAGCTTATGAATCTATGGCTTTAAAATACGGGGTAAAGATGTATGAATGTTCCTATTTTACATCATCTCAAATTTGTGCTTTGGGTGTTTTCCCATCTTTGTGGGTTCCAATGATGAATGTATATGGTAGAAGCTTTTCGGTATTCTCCGCATTGGCACGCTGTGTCTTAAATATTGGTGGGGGTATTGCACAACATATGGTCAACAGATGGCCACTAGAGTTTTAGTCTCATTTTTTGTCTCAACAGCACCTGCTGCTGGTAGTTCTATTGTTTCTGATTTATCGTTTATTCACGAGAGGTAAAAAAAATGGTTGGTGGTCTCTAGGACTTATCTTAGGTAGTCCCAGTGGCCCATTCTTTATGGGATTTGTTGAATATCATGTTGGAACTAAGTGGATGTATTTCACTTTTGCAATAATGAATTTTATACAATTTATTCTTTAGCTATTAGCAGATGGGACGGTCTACGTTAGAAATAATAATAATAATTCAGCTATAAAATCAAAACAAAGAGGCATCGTACTGTGGCTTGGGTTTTATAAACAAACAGATAAGGCTTTATGTTGGAAAGACTTTTTCACGTCTACTTAGAAAATTAAAAATATTTAATTTAGAAGATCCCAAAAAAAGATTAATAAACCATCTTAAGGCTTTCTACAGGATTCATTTTCTTAGGTTGTTTCTCTATCAACCGCTTGAGAAACTGATAACTATTTTAATTATATAATACGTTACCTTCTGAACGACTTACATTGTGGCTTTTTATCTCACTTTTATAGTTTCATTTATTACCATATTAATGTAAGAGATATTTGAGCAAATGATATCAGTATAAATCCATTAAGCTAGCCTATAAAGAATGCGATATCAATTCAGAATTCGATAACCAGCTGACTTGATTATCAATAAATTCGCATAATTCCGTATTATCCTTCTGGTCAAAATGTCTAAAATAAAGTTTCTCTATACATAGGGTTCTTTGCATATTAGTCCATTGGGTTAATTCGAAATCAATTGTGATTTGGCTTTCAGATGATTTTCTCTCGAATGAAAACCCTCTGTACATCCTATAGTGCAATCTCTTTTCATTTTTATCATATATACTATCCCTCAGCATTATATCAACAGGGTCAAGTTTTGGATAATGGCAGTGCATTCCAAAAATTGGATTATCATTATTTGAAGTAAACTGATCTTTTATTGTCTTTTTCGCGTGTTGCACACGCTCATTTAGTGGTATTAGGTTCTTTTTTTGTTCAGCAAGAGGGTTCAATACTTTTTCCTTGAATATTTCATAATCTTTAAGGGGGTTCTTTTGTGCCATTGCTTTCCCCTGAAAATGATCATCTTTATCAAAATATCCTATTCCTTTGATAGAGGACTTCAATTGGTAAAACTCTTGCTTTAAAACAGTCGCGGCAGCCGCAAAAGAATCTTTATCACCTTCTCCTAACTCACCCAAAGAAAATAATTTATAATATAATTGAGGTCCATACAAATTATAATACAAAGACAACAATAAAGTTTTCCCATGTGATAGTTTACTAATAAAGAGCTGACCTGATTCTGTTGACATATTAGGTACAGTGCCGTCTAGGTCATGGAATGGTACAGAATCCTTTTCAGTCTCTAACAAATTATCATCACTTTCAGCATAATCTATTGGAAGTCTATCATACCTAACTCTTTTCCTCTCATTCACCTCAGTACCTGATATATTATAGAAATGAGGAGAAATTGTACGCCTCCAATAATCAGGCCAAGTGATCATTCCGTATCTCTTGAATAGATCACTATCAAAAAATGCATCGGGGTTTTCAATAACAATATTATCTGAATCCAATAATAAAACGTTTTGGAAGGATGATGCCATTAAGGCCAAAGATTTAAACTGGTATGATCTAAATTTTTTATTCCATTGAGTCATTACTGAAGCTCCAAAGACCTCAGGAATAACAAGGCATGAGGCGTTAAGTTTAGGAAGAATTTCAGTGCAAAACTCTATTTCTTCTTCATAATCAAAATATGTTGGCATTATAACTTCGACGGGTAACTTGGATCCTGTCTCTCTTAAGCCCAAAAGTGATAAATAAGATAACCAAGAAAATCTTCCTCCTCCGATGAATACAATTCCACTAGAACCCGGATTATAAGTTGTTGTAGGTAACTCTGAAGGTAGCTCCTCGAGTAAAATTTTATGCCTTTCTTTAAATTCCTTAAAGGCTTTCTCCGAAATTGTAGCCTTAGATAACAATACTTCTTTCGTGTTCATCTTTGTTCTATCAGAAACTTTATTATAACTTATTGCGTTATCTAACTCAGCACTAGTAAGATTCAATCTATTTTCACTTATAATTTTAAATACTTTGTCCCAAAATGTATGTGCTTCTGCCTTGTTTGCGCACTTCCGCATATCTTCATCAATATATCTCTCATTAGAAAAGGATCTATAATACCCTTTGATAGAGATTGGACTTAGGTAACTATCATATTGCTCTGAAGTTTCGCTGATTATGATCAAAATCAACAATACTAGTACTGCTCCAAAAATTGCACACCTCACTCTTAGAGACCGCAAATAACTTCCCATAACTACCATTTTTCAAAAAGGGACGCTTTTTGGAGGCCTATGACTAGTAAAAAACTCTTGCCATTTACTGGGTTTTTATATAAGTTGAAAAGAAGGTATCAATCTCTATCGGGAGCCCCCGTATATGATGCTTAAAATTTTGGTGTTAATATGTATACTGCAGTGAATATGTACGATCGCGAATTTAAACTTTATTGTTCATATAAGATCAGGGCTTTCGAAAGCAAAATTTATATAGGCAGTTTCATTGTATCGCATATTTTTATGAAGATCTACTTACATATGGATCCAGAAAAAATCTAAATGTATGCTAACATTTGTATTAGTTTGAAGTGAAAAATATTGATATAATCCAGGTTATTAGTTGAGACTTCTTAGGGCACTTTTGTCTGCATTCGTACTTCTTTATGCAAAAGTTATAATAACAATTGCAAAGCCACAAAATAATGCAGGTTACTATCATACAACAAAATGTGGTATTTCGCCAAGAAAACAGTCTCGCGTTTAAAAATAGTTTTAGTATCGAACTTTAATACAAAGAGTGACTTAAAATAGAACTAAACACTCAGACCAATAATTTTTGTTAATACAGTTTTGGCTGTCATCAAGTTCTCAGACAATAAATTATTTTAAAATGTATATAATTTAATGTAGTATGATAATCTACTAACGTGGCCATTTACTAAGTTGGCCGATAATGAGATTTAGAACTAAAACTTTATATTTCACATATGCAGTGTACAAAAGTATGCTGCATAGGACAAAAATAGAACGAGAGTCTGCGACGGCTTTAGAAGACCCAATATTTAGCTTGTTTGATATAGGCCCTATCTAAAAGGCCACAGTAAAAATTCGACCTCTAGGTTCTTACCAAAATCGAATCTTTGTACTTTCGCTTGATATCTACCCTTCGGAGATACTAAGGTATTATCAAATACTTCGACTAGTCGCTAAAAAATATTTTGTCACAGGAATTCATATCATTTTATCAACTAATGACAGTATTTTCGATTATTCTTGCCTAAATCCCGGGAAATAATTGATGGTATGATTTAGAATTCTTTCCATCAAATTGAAAAAGATTTGATAAATTTTTGAAACTAAGGCGATTACTAATCTTCATACTCAAACTTCACCATCAGGTATTTTGGGTTAATGCAGCTTCAACTGTATCACACATTTTTCTTCTATTGGAAAGAGTACTATGAATAATACCCCCAAATGCTTTGAATCTGTAAGACATAATAGCATTTTCTTCAATATAATTTTTTTAGTTTTCATGCAGCAGGAAGAGTCAATTCTGCTCGTTTTTAAGAAACAAATTACAGAGGTATTGATTTTTTTATTGGGCATCTAAAATCGCATCTAAAATCACGTATTTCTCTGTCTTTCAAACTCCATCATAACAGATAAACCTTAATCACGAGATAATTGTAGGCAATAATCTTACTCGTTTATCTCTAAATTACGTATTCTGTAATAGTTTATGCGAGTTACATTATTTATTGTGATTATCTTTATTTATTAAGTCGTGGTTATTCTTGTTTATACACGAAATAAAATCTTTTTAAAGATTACTTAAGAAATAGGCACCTCAAGCAAACTGTTGCAATATTCCAGAATGAAAAGGACCCTGTAAATAATATTTCCTAGATGAAAGCAATCTTCTATTAACTGGTTTATTAATTGTTTTATCACTATGCAAACGTTTGCTAATAATATTAAGAGGTATAGTTAATACCTTAAAATTCATATTCTATGGACCGTATAAATGAAAGCAAAAAGTATTTTAAGTGATGGTGACGATAATACTACCTATCTTTATTTGTCTCCATCTTTTCATTAATGAATAAACGTGCAAAATTATCAAACCAGGAATCGAGGGCTTAATCTGTTATGGATTTGCATAATGATACTAGGCGGGTCAACTTTCTTTTTTTTGTACCTAGTAAAATTCCCTTGATAGGCTTTGACTATCGGATTGCAAAAATAATGAAAAATATAAAATGAAACACTTGGAATCTCTTGAGCACATTAGAGATACATAGTTGTAGCGATAATAGTGAAAATAATAATCATTTCATTCAGGATACTCAAGGCAGTAAATACGTGATTCCTGATAAGCCTGGCACAGAACCCAAATATGGTAGCGATATTAATTTTTTGATGAAGTAGTTTTTGACAAGATGTGCTTAGAATTACTCTCTAGACGAACAATGGAGGAACGTATTACTGGGAGGGAATCCCATAGATAATTGATACGCGTAAGAGAGGCCGTTATTTTATGGGATTTGTCGTTATTCCGATGAATATTATTACCACCAAGTATATCAAAAATAGGCTTTATCCTTATTCATTTATAGGTACAAGCACATCCTTTTCCTTTTGTTTTTCATTTTTCAGTCAACTATGCTTTTCAAATACTTGCCACAACTCTCATGTTCATTTTTAACCTTCTCATCAGTAAAGTTCACTAGAGGGTGATATAGTAAGATTAAAAGAAGATTATGTGGTGTGTTAAAAATCCTAAAAACCCGGATGTGCATAGCTATTTATTATAGAGGCACAATTCCAAAACTTGCATATTACATAACCCTGAAGACTTGAGATAATCTCTTGATTAGTTAGTCATTTAAGTGGACAGAATTAGAATCTAGATCCGTCTATCAACCCTACTCACAGATTATATTGCGATACCGGGAGTTTTTTTTATAATCATTGCCATCATAATATGTTACATCATTAATGATTGTTTTCATAAATCATCTTATCGAATATTGATTATGCTGTCTATACATCGAATTATATTACCAATAATGATTTCAGCTTAAGTGCATGTTATATTAATAATATCTCCTCAAAGCATTATTTTGTATTCTTTAATTATGTGGATATTGAGTTGAGCTGGTCATACAGAAATAAGTTTCAATCCGATTTTATCTTTTCTCATACAATGTACAAAACTTGTATTTTTTTTTTTTGACACCTTGCAATATCCTGATGATTTCTTCTTTGTCATTGGAGTTATACATACCTTTATATCCTTCATGAAATTATTATTATTATTACACATATTATACCCATTCAGCACCCCACCCCTATATTTCCATAAATATATAACTGAAATAATTCTTTTGGAGATAATTCCTAGAAACTTATTTCAAAATAAAGTCATGAATTAAGTAATGTAACACTGTATAGGAAAATTAAAGTGGGGCACTAGATCAAAGAATTTAATGGTCGTGTAGTTCAAAACCAGGTTGTCCACTATAAATAATGAGCCTGTTCTTCATCTCCTCGGATTAAAATCCGTAAAAAATAATTAAGTGGCCGTCTTAAATGTTGAGAAAACAGCCCAAACGACACAGAGTTATACCTCCCGAAGAACGGAAAAAAGTTTCGAAAGCATGTAATAGTTGCAGGGAAAAAAAGTTTAAGGTACGTGTTTATTGCGTTTAGTGTTTAGATCTGAAATTTGTATATAATTACTAATTGGAAACAAGTGTAATGGAAAAGAGCCATGTTTGTTATGCTCACGTAAAGGTCTAGAATGTTTGTACTGTCCTATAGATCGTAGGTCGTTAAGGGGGAAACTAAAATTAAATAATGATATCCAAATTGATAAAGAACGATCCACTGAGAATAATGATACATCTAGTTCTAGTGATTCAACTCAAACTGAAACCGTGGTTGATGAAATACACCGAAGTCATTATATAAATAAATCCAGAATACCTTCTAGTTTACAGCCATTATTGACTTTTCCCGTTACAGTTGAAAAAAATAGTACGATAAACTCAAATAAAAAAGGTCGAAAAAGATCAATACCAATTGGCATGGAAGTGTTGCCTAATCAGAATGGAGGACATACTAGGCTTCCACTTAATTCAGCTGGGAATTTGCGCTATTTCGGTGAAAGCAGCCCGCTGTCATTGTTACAAGAATGCCGATTTATATTCGCCAGAGTTATTGGTGTTTCTAAGTTCACAGATGATCCATCAAAAGAGCTAGTTATAGATGAGCCTAATAGATCAACAGTAAGACACCCTCTTCAATTACCCAGAAGGGATCTGTGTAATATTTTGGTGCAATTTTTTGAAGAAAACATTAATGACACACACTATATATTTGATATGAAGTATTTTAAAGATAACATTATCGACAGAATATATGATAACCCAATATCTATTGAACAGTCTTGTATTTGCTTACTTCATTTGGTTCTTGCAATTGGTGCATTTTATGCAGAAATATCTCCTTCATGCCAAATAACGGACCTTAATGTAGTTGACTCCGCGGAGTTTTTTGATAGCTCTTTAAGTCTTATGAGAGATTCAGTCTATGATGGTAGTTTATGGTTAGTTGAAGCAAATTTCTTACAATATTTCTATTACCAATCTTGTTGCAAACCAAGTTCTTCTTGGATGCATTTGGGAATTGCGATAAGATCGGCCCAAGCTTTAGGATTACACAGAAGGGTAGTGAACGAACGATTTAAGAATCCGCTTTATGTTGTACATAGAAGACGATTATGGAGAAGTCTATTTATATGCGATAGAATATCATCTATTAATCTTGGAAGACCACTTGCTGCCAACGATTATGACTGGGATGATCAATGTATGAATTTTATTGCTGACTCTAAAGAAAATTTCAGGCAGAAATGCCAAGATAAAATTTCAAAGATTGCTCATGATCGAATCGTTGAAAATATCTATCGAGATGGTGTAATTAATATAAGAAGGGCGAATGAGCTAGCAATAGAACTCAAAACTTGGTCTCTAAATCTACCACCCGATTTAGACCTAAGTTTTACTTTGAAAAAATTCAAATGCAATTATAATGGCGATAATAATCTATTAATGAATGTTCATATGGCCCAGTTTTATGGAATTATGTTATTATGCAGACCGTTTTTAATGTATATAATAGTGAGAAAGTTAAAACCTGGAACAAAGAGTGAATTACAAGACAATTCGTCACTCCTCAACTTTTGCAAGGGATGCATCAAATCATCATTTTTAACAATTAAATTAGTCAATTATTATGTGGAGAATACTACTAATAATTTAGAGCTGTTCGTAGCGATCAACGGATGTTTTTTTGCATCTGTAATTTTGGGACTAAGTTTGTTGGAAACAATTAAGCAATCACAACCTGACGCGCGATATGTGAATGTTTTATTTGATTCTTTACATATTGCCAGAAAGATTCTATATTACTATGGATCCTTCAATGCCACTTCTGAAAGATGGGGTGGAAATGTGGATAATATGCTAGCGGCTCTTTCAGAGACGCAAAACCAATACTCGAAATTAATTCCCGGGAATGCCTCAACATCTAATCAAACTGACTTTGAAACATTTAATGAAGAAATAATTTCTCTCGATGATGAAGAATTCAGTTTGAATAATTTAATGAGATTTCAACAAACTTTTGTTCCTTCCAATACTGATATGAACTCCGAAATTTTCATGTATAGCGAGGATGTAGCAAAACAAAACAATGACACTCAGTCATTAGATGTCTTCATGTACGACTTTTGGCAAAACCAACAGTCGATATGATTGTGCTACTAGCTAATTGTCATTTATACTGATGCTCATATAAATTAAAGAGAAATTGTTTTGTCGCGCTGAAAACGTACACTGCTCCATATAGAATACAATATGTTATTGGCTTTCATTATTTGCAAAATATGACCTACGGGATATAAGAAGAAATAATTCCCTTAAAGATAGATGCTGTATATTCTTATCCAAATTAAACATTGTGAAAAAAGCTAAGAAACCAGTTTACTATGAAATATAACTCCATTCCAATGAACTTTTTCAGCATTGACATCTTGGATACCAAAGACTAATTGACCAACAAACTACACAACAAAATTGGGATATGACAACCATAATATTTATATATTGCGATTTTTTTTCATCCACCAAACTAACCAGCCATTTGGATACCGATGAGATATCCATTAGCCATTCATGGAAACTGCAAACTAGTAGCTTGTGGACCTAAGTGGATTTTTTTCTCCAATTAAAGTAGGAACTTCAATTTTTGTCACAGTATTAGTATACGAGAATTCAATATTGTCTAGCAGCAATAGTGAAAACGAACAATTAGTGACGGTATGTATCCTAATAAGGCTGGTACGGATTACAAATATGGAAGTATGATAATAAGTTTTCTGAAAATTTTGGACGGAACGGGCTTGGAATCACTAGTTACAAGAAGAGCAAAGAAAGATCTACCTGGAAAGGATCACGTAGATAATGAACGCATTAAAAAAACAGCCGAAAGATATGAGCCTGATATGAGCCGAATATATATCTAGCTTTAAGATAGCAAATTCTAGGAATACTAGACTGAACCAGTTATAATATACTATTAGTTACATACCCCTCGAAGTGGTCCAATTAAATCACTAAAATTTGCTCCCAATTTATTACATAATTTCTCAAGTGAAACAAGATGACAAAAGTAGCATGATAGAATGCAGTTCTCAAAAGTAAATACCAACGGAACTTATACGTGATTTGCGAACGTGGCTATTTGGCACCCAGATGTAGTTTTGATTTAACTCTTTTTGTGGGATTGTTGTATCTCTACCCGATTACAGGATATCATTCAGGCATGAGTGACGAGTATTTGAAACAAAGATGAATTGATGTAAATGTTTAAAACTAACTAAGATACGGACTCAATTTATGCAAATATAAAGTTCTTGTAGTTATTTTCTAAGCGCTCTTTGTTGATATCTTCATAATATTTATGCGAGCCGCGAACATATATTAAACATTCTTTTGGTCTTTTTCCTTCGCGGCCAACACCCATGTACCAGGAATCCGCGAAAGGCAACAATGTTTTATTTGCACCTGCATTGATATATTCTTTCCAGTCAAATTGTGCCTCATCCCTTGGAGCGATATACTTATAATCATGCTTTTCTGTATAATCAACTGTGTCTCTAATCCATTCACTTTGAATCAAACAACAAGTTGGACCATTACAAAACGCGCTCGGACTTTGAGGACCATAAAGAAAGAATAAGTTAGGGAAATCTGCAATTGTCATGCCTAAGTAGGTATACGTGCCATCTTTCCACTTTTCGTGAAGAGTGATACCATCTTTGCCAGTCAAGTCAATTTGGTAAAATCCACCCGTTACTGCATCAAATCCTGTAGCGTATATAATAATATCAAATTCGTACTCCTTTTCTGATGTTATTAAACCGGTATTAGTAACTTCTAAAATTGGTTCATCCTTGACATTGACAATTTCAACATTATCTTGGTTGAGGACATCATAGTATGTTTGCTCAAGACTAGGTCTTTTCGTGAATATCGGATGAAGCTGTTTATCCGGAGCTAATAATTGCTTTTTTCTTGGGTCTTTAATCCTATCATGAACCTTATCTCTCCAGTAATCATAGGCGAGCTTGTTAGAATTTTTGTCAGTTAATATATCAGAAAAGTTACCTTCCCAAAATCTCATTCCACCATTTTCCCAGCACTGATCGAATTTGATTTTAATTTCTTCCGGTGAGCAATTCCCTGCCAAGCGCGGATCACGACTGAACTCGAATCCTGACAGTGAAGATGTTTTCAACTTTTCAAAAAGTTCTGGATAGGTTTTCATCCTCCTTATCTGTTCGTCTTTGTCTCCAGTACTCTGTCTCATAGGAAACGCAGTATTTGGAGTACGTTGAAACACAGTCAACTCACTGACATCACCACCAATTTCTTGAACAACTTGGACACCTGATGCGCCTGTCCCTATAACTGCAACTTTTTTATTCGTAACATCGACACCATCACACGGCCAGTCTGCAGTATGGAATGAAACACCTTTGAAAGATTCTCTGTTGCTAATTCGGGGATACATTTTTTTTGCAGCAAAGCCTGTACAGAGAATTAAATATTTACATTTGTATTCACCGGCACCTTTTCCAGTCACAGTGATATCCCAAACATTTTTATCATCATCCCAGTGAGATTTGGAAACGTTAGACTCAAAGGTGAAATCTTGACTAACGTTAATTTGGGTGTCAACAAATGCAAAGTAGTCTTGCAATTCTTTATACCCAGGAAAACGTTCAGAGAATACCCAACCCTTACAAGTTTCTTTTAGCCAAAGTTGATATGTTGGAATTTCTGAATCAACTCTTGCTCCAGGGTAACGATTGTGATGCCAGACCCCTCCAAAGAACGATCCTCTTTCGAATCCATGAACGGAATAGCCAGCCTCTCTTAACTTGAATAATTGAGTGATACCACCGAATCCACCTCCAACAACTATAGTGTCATAATATTTGATTGTCATATTGGTCTCGAATAAACCTGTTTTTTTTTTCTCAATGAAGGAAGGTTGAACGGGATGGATATCGCATATTTATATAGCTCTGGTATTCAAATCTTTTAAATACGATACGCATATTCGGTCACTGAATTTGAGAAGTTTTAACGGAATTTTATAGATGTGGTGGGAAGGGGGGTGAACAACACAAGACTTAGATAATTTTCCATTCAATTAAAGCCTTAGGATTTATGAATACCGGACTTGTGTATTGCTCTTTAGAAATCTAATATGCGTCAGGTCGCAATTCCGGATTGTCAAGATGTGAAATTCCGGCTTATCAAGGCAATTCCAAATAAAAGATTTTAAATCTTATTACAGAGTTGGCCTTCTGTATAGTAGAAAAGAAATATAAATCTAATTCATTAACGTTACCAATATTTGTAAATGCATGAATGCTTCAAATTCCTTGGCGCTTGAAAGAAGCAAAACAGATAATAGTATGAGATTTCAATAGCTGCATATTATTTCTTATACTTTTGAGAATAATTCTCTCTCTTTCATGGATATATAATACAATCTACAAAGATCTAAAATTGTACTGTTGATAATAGAAATTATTTAAGGAATAAAAATTCATTTACAATATTATAATAATTCATAATGAGTTTTCAGTCATCTTTATTGTAAATATGTGACATAAAGCAATAAAGAATGGCATTGGGTTTCTGATTTTAGCATATAGGGATGATCAGGTGCAATATGGCAAAATCCATTTAATCTAACGGAAATGTGAGAGTATTTTTTGAAGTATTTTATTACTGCATACACTAGAGATTATAGTATAATATTTATCGTGTACCTTTCTGTACATTTCCACCATATGGCTCCGCTTTTTTAGAATCCGAACCATATTTTGTAGAAATATGTATTCAACAATTTATATATAAAGAACAATAATTGTCATGAATATAGACGTAGAACGTGTTACTAATGATAAGATGCTTTCTCAATATATAAAGGATGTGAGGTCCGCTGATAATACTCAGAATATATCTGGTGGCATAGAAAAGCTGAATTATTCTTATGATGACCTCTCTGTTGCAGACGATGTAAAACTAATCCTGGAGCTCAAGACAGAACATCATGACTTCTTAATGAAAAGACATGGGTCTGTACAATTGGAGCCTCTTCCATCACTCGATCTTGCAGATCCACTAAATTGGTCTGATTGGAGAAAAGTTTATGAATTGATATTGATATCATTTCATTGCTTTATTGTTACATTTATGGCAGCCGGTATTGCTCCTGCCTATGAAGCCATGTCAATTCAGTATGAAAAGACATGAGGGAGATCTCCTATTTAACTTCAATTCAAATTTTGGTTCTAGGAATATTTCCTCTTTTCTTTGTTCCATTGATGAACATATATGGAAGACGTCCCTTTTTGATATTTTCAAGTTTAGCTTGTTGTGCGTTGAACATCTGTGGAGGGTTTTGTACATCCTATTCGCAACAAATAGCTACAAGGATTTTGGTTGCAATTACAGCTTCAACAGAAAGTGCTGCTGGATCTTCTATTTTTGCAGATCTTGCATTTAGTCATGAGAGAGGTAAAAAAATGGTTGGTGGTCTGTGGGTTATGTTTTCGGAACTCCAGGGGGGCCGTTCTTCATGGGCTTTGTGCAACAACATGTTGGTACAGAATGGATTTACTTTATATTTGCAATAGTAAACTTTGTAGAATTTGTCTGTTATTTATTTTCAAGGGAAACTTCTACAATAAAATCCAACAGGAATCAGCTTTGAGAAATAATAATGTTATTAAATAGATGGGGTTTTATAAAGCAAGTGCTAAAAATATAGTGCGGATTATTTTTGGAACCTTTCAAGCAGGCCGTTGATTATAGTGTTATATTAGTATCTATCGCACCTTCTGTGACTTTTTGTTATGCAAATATTGTTCTTACAGTGGAAATACCTCAAATATTTGGGCCATTGTATTCGCTTGATGCCCAGGGAATTAGTTTACAATATATTGCACTTATCGTAGGTTCGGTCATTGGAGAACTTCTAGCAGGTCCACTTTCTGATTGGTGGATGAAATTCTGTTATAAAAAAGGGGAGGACAAAGAGTTGTAGCTGGTAGGCTATGGATTTCCTACTATGGATATTTATGTGTTATTGTTGGATTGATCATTTTTGGGTCCCTTTTATTTTAATGACATGTTTGAGAGGCTAAATTTAGCTGGAGTTTGTGGGTTAATGGCATGGTTCGTCTTAATTTTTGGTGGTTTTGACATAGCTTTGGTGCATATTCTTGGTATAAGATCGAAAAGTGGAAGCTGAAACCTCATTAAGGAGTAGGGATGTTGAGGAGATACTATATTGTATTTTGTGTTTCGTTGTTTTTATATATAATAGTTATTTACTTCTTTTTTCCAGAGGCCAAGGGATTGGCTTGGAAGAAATTGCCCAGATCTTTGGGGAAGTATTTCTAATTTGACAATAGAGAGTGATAATCAATACTTGAATCTAGTGAACATGAGTTAAAAAGTCAAATAGATCATTATAGAAAAGAAGGAAGAAATATGAATGAGATATTATGAGAGGTGAATAATATAGCCAATATGGAAAAATTCTAAGAACAGAGTATTGGAAATGAGTGAGATCGGAGGCTATACACCGCACTTGCAATATGCCGCTTTCCTCTTAGTACTAAAACAATACAACCTGTTTTAAATTAAGATTCGAAGATCAGAATATTGGAGATGAGTGGGGTCAAAGAATTAAGATATATTCTAAATCGTATATGTTATGTATTCAGTCATTTTTGTCATATTATAAGACATTAGGTAGTTCAGCCTGAAATTCTAAAATAAATGTCGCAATAAATAAGTACCTCATTCAATTTGAGACATGAGATTTCTAACTTTAAAAAACTTTTTACTAGAAAAATTCCCAACATCAAATAAGGAAACGCCTCTAAAGAGAATATTTGGGAAATTTGTATAGTATTTCGCCCTTTGCCAGAAGGCAGGTAGTCCGAACTCTATTTCAAATTATTTACAATGATTTAAATGGCCTTGAATAATTATCATCGGAAGCTAAACTTCTTGTTGTCTGATGGTTTGATATGAGGAATATTGAAAAATATTGGAATTAATTTGCAGTCACACTTGAACTTTATGTTAATTTTAGTGGGGAGAAGAATTATTCTTCTCCAATGTTATCTCTATGATACCGCGAAGAAGAGTTAGCCTTTATCTCCACATCTCTATGTATACGTATACGACTTTTCTTTTTATTGTTCTTAACGTATACTCCACTAGAATCTGTCGTACATGTTTGATTACTGACGTTTAGAATCCCCCATCAATATCTTATTTCATCACCCCAAGGCTTGACTCCTAACACATTGCTAGCTGGCGTAATTAACAATATTAACAGCTACATTCCTTAAAGGTATATTTAGAGCTCTAATTACTCTTTTGAAATTATTATTTCTGTTTATTAGTATCTAAGATGAAAAGAGATAATAAGCAACAAAACGATAATGTTAAGGTCCTCATTTCAGACGTAAATCTCAATATGGATGAAAAAATAGATCTTACCTTGGAAGAAGTCACTCCAAAATTAACAAAATGGTGGTTTCAGTATCCTCATTTATTGAAATTGAACATCTATTTCGGATGTGCTGTATTTGGTATGATAACCCTTGGCTATGATGGGAGCATGATGAGTAACTTATAAACTCTTCCAAGTTGGCAATCTTATTTTGACTATCCAACTGGTGGCTGTTAGTTTGTATTACCACATCTCAGTGGAACCAGAAGATAATTATATGTCCTATTACGTACAAAATTAAAGCAACAATATAAGTCATTGGCTGGGAAGTTATATCAGCAAATTTTGAGAAGCACAATTGACCCACTGCACTTACAATACTACTTGCAATACCTGAAGTCGGAATTAAAGTATGATGTCCATAATCTGAAGTTGCGTAGGCTTGATAATTTGAGGTTGTCTGATTATCCAATGAGAGTTACCATTAAAGAATCCAAATTGAAATAAGGAAAATATATTGAATATATCGAGGGTTATTAATTGAGAGTGTTTGCGTAGTAAGCGAGTATTTTGGTGGATATGTAGATAGAGTCGTGTTTATATGGTTTGGGTATTTAATGGTGGTTTGAAATGAGAAAAGAAGAGATAGAGGCAATGAGAATAGGTAATAGAGAAATAGTTATAAATAATAATAGTATAGATAAAAGGGAGAAGAGTATTAATTGAGTTGAAGTAAGCTAGGAGATAAAATGAATAGCGGAAAATGAAAATTAGAGTTGAAGAATGAGACAATAATGTTGTAATAAGGTGAATGGTGATATTAGCTGTGTTAATTGAGCGAGGTTGAGAATTGAATTAGGATAGTTTAAAGGTAGGTTCTATAAAACCAAACATCATGGAGTGCAAAATTATATTTCTCTGATCAAAAGCCTTTACTTGAATTCTTGCAAGAAAAATTGACCTAAGATATTTATTATTTATCCTTCACTCATTTGCTGATGAGCTTCCACGTTTAGAAGATCATTGAATTATTTTTTCAGCATTTTCATCTGCAATTTATTATCTAGATAAATAAAAAACGTTTGGCACGTAAAATAAAAATTAAGTGCAAGTCTTTGTTAAAGATAACTTTTGACCTCTTTGTGGAAGAATCTTCTGAAAATTAAAATGGAAGTATATTGATCTTGTGAAGCTGAAGCCACTAATTTAAATTTTAGGTCAAAAGAATATGCTAGTAAACAATATTACCAATATCTACCTCGTTTGAGCTATTGTAAAGCTGTTATCTACTTATAAACCCTTTAATATTTGCACTTGGAAACGTGCTATCGAACTGTAATCTGTATATAGAGAGAAAAGTTTGGATCGTCTTTAAAATAGGACTTTTTTTGTGGCGAGCCCTTTTCACTTTCAACTATATTTTACCAGAATTGTGAGCAATAATAATACCCAAAGCATAAATTCCCCAAGTATAATAGTTATACTCCACAAATACTCCTTAAAAAGAAAGCAGCACAACAAACCCAATATGGCATTTCCTTTTCTGTAGTAAAAGGTACTTATTGTAATTTGTCCTTTTAATCGGTATGCTCTAGGTAGGAATGAAAAAGGCTCGTATCACTGACTTCCGACGTCATGAATCATGCAAATAATAATTACTGCAACATTGAAGTCCACTAGTCCCAATGTGGCAAGTAATCAATTTTATGGCGTATATTTACGCATCCGATTATCCCCAGATATGTCCGATTAGCTCCAGATATGTCCGATTAGCTCCAGATATGTCCGATTAGCTCCAGATATGTCCGATTAGCTCCAGATATGTCCGATTAGCTCCAAAAAAGTCCGAAGCCATCTAATCTAACGACATTTTGCTGTGTCGACTATGTAATCACCTAAAACATGCTAAATTAATAATAACCAACATGGTAATCCTAAATTTCCATACGTTTCATTGGTTATTGGATTGAAGTAACTATTAAACTTATGAAGTGCCAACTTTGATAGGATTGAAGAGCAGATTCTACCAAGAAACCATTTACGAATACGTCCACTACAACTCCACATCCATATCCCCACTAAACTTAATATACTAATTGAGTGATGTAGTTGCTATATTCAGCGGGATTCGTAATTCGTAGACAATAGGTATATACAAAATATAGTGACGACAGTAGCTTACTCGAAAATCAAAATAATCACCTAAGGCATACACTGCTAATATCTTTTTTACCAGATCGGACTATAAAAGGATTAGAATTCCTGGATTTATGGGCTTGAATATTGTTTAGAACATACTTATTTTAAAGATGAAAATTTCCATATTATACGCACCATTCTTAGCAGCCACTGCGTGGGCAACACCAGCAACTCTCACTAAGAGAGAAAATATGGACGGTGATATCTTACAATATGCACTCACCCTTGAGCACCTTGAGGATGCTTTCTATAAAGACGCACTTTCCAAGTGGTCGGTCGATGATTTCACTAAAGCGGGGTTCAGCAATGACTTTTATAACCAATTGAGATACATTTCTTATGATGAAGCTACGCATGTCATGTACCTTGAAAATGGCCTTAAGGCTGCAGGTTTGAAACCGGTAGAAGCATGCGAATACAATTTTACTATGAGCTCTGTAAAGGACTTCGTTTCACTTGCTGCCACGATTGAGGGAGTTGGTGTTTCTGCTTACATTGGCGCCAGTCCGCTTGTAACATCAAAAGATTATCTTACAGCTGCCGCTTCCATTTTGGCAACAGAAGCAATCCATCAATCTGCTGCTCGTAACGCTGTCGGCGAACTTCCTATGGCAAATCCCTTCGGAACCCCCATGGGATTGAACGCAATCTATACTATAGCTTCTGGATTCATTAAAAAATGTCCATCTTCCAATGCTGCTCTTCCCGTTAAGGCTTATAAGGGTCTTACAGTCTCTAATAATATGCCGCTTTCGACTGGTGAAAATGTTTCCTATACTGTTGAAGGTGATCTTCCATCAGAATGTTACGTCACATACATTAGTGGTTTAGATGTTCTTCCTGTTAAGGCTAGTATGTCTGATGGCATGATCATGTCTACTATCCCAAAAGAAGCCTCGGGTCAATCGTACGCATTTATCACTTCTGACATGTCAGGAAATTTAACAGATTCTTCTATCTTATTCGGGCCTGCTATCTTAGAAGTAAGTGCTGAAGATATTTCTCACATGGCTCCGAATTCAAGTATGCCAAGTAATTCAACAATGACTATTCCTGGAAATTCGAATATGCCGATGTCCTCAAGCTACATGGGAAGCTCCATGCCATCTGTAGAAGCTATGGATAATTCAGCTGCTTCCACAAGCTCGTTCTCTTTAACAACCTTTTTTGTTGGTGTTTTAGCCGTTTTATATATTTAACTGAAGCCTTCTGAATTCTAGGCCGATTATTTCTATAGTTTTCCTGTAGATTTGATTGTTCTAGGTTTAATAAATGAAATTAATAGGCCGCCTCATTTTCTGAACGCTTATATAAACGAGGGGATTTCAAATATTTAGACGTTTTGCAACTCAATTAATTTTTCACTTGATATATTCGCAATCAATATTTTTCTGCACTTATTTATTAATTAACATTAGGTCCTATACCCTGTACCTGCGTGCAAACTGTTTAACCCCATACTAATGGTGTAAAATTGGTCTTTGTTTAGGGAGTCCCTCACTTTTTTAGGATTGTTTTCGCACGCTATAGAGTTAACGGGCACAACCGCCAATGTCGCAAATTCGAACGTAAAAAACAGCACCGAGCACTTTAATTGTTCTGTTACTTAGGCTCTACTACGACTTGCAAATTGTTGTCCTCATATGGTATAGTCGCACTGTAGGATTGCGGGTTACACAGTGTTATACTGTCATCCATTTGATCAATTTATGAATATATAAATAGGGTAGTCCCCCCTTAGAATGCATATCGAAATTGTTTATGCAATTATCTGTCTTCTTTTATCTCCCACTACATCAATATCTTCCTGTTTATCATCTGCGGTATTACTTAAATCATTAATCTTGACATCAATTTTTTTCGTGATGTTCGCATTTCGAGAACCCCACAAAATCACAATAGTTCCTTCAATGAGAATTCTGAAACAAATATTTCTTTTATGCTAACTTTAATTAATTTCTATAAATTGAGGATGTATCACAAGAAAGAATAACGAAGTTTTTGTTCACATCAATTTAGTCACGATGAATAACGACACTTTTTCTAATAGTATTAGAAGATATATTTTGGAAGGCGACAATGAAGACAAGGACATGAATATTGATGTTGATGCTGACATTAATCTGTTTGAGATTACCAAATTCAACTATAGAACATTATTCGATAAACGTATGAATCAAAATATCAGCCATACAGAAATGGTGTTTAAATTTTTTGGAATTGAAAGTATATCTGACGTGGATTTGGATCCTCAAAGTCAAAAATTGTACTTTAAAGATCACCCTGATGAGTGGAAGGAATTATTCATCTTTTTTTGTGTTATGCCATTTACTGAATATGAATTTGAAGGACCTGATGGAAGTTCACTAAACCCTGATACCCTACGTAAGGCCAGTCTGAGCCAAGCTACTGACAACATTCTAATTCGGACTTTTTCGGATATAGAGTTTGAATCATTNAATGAGGAGATTCCGGAAAGCAGATTCGCAAATAACTTGCAATGTATTTTGAGAACAGACCTATTCTCTAATACGTTTAGCGAGGATCAAAGAAAAAAAGTAATTACAAATTTGCTCTATGTTGGTCTTCAATCAAAGCATAAACTTGTTAAGCATATTCGATCAAAGGCAGAATTTACNTATAGAGATAATTTCAAACAATACTTATTTAAACCTATAAGTGAATATGTTGCAGCTTTATTGGCCTTTGAAATTGAGGTTGAAGAAGACAACGCAGAAGGTCAGACTGGAGTTCATACTAGAGTACCGCATCAAACTAATGATTTATTTCAATCGCATCCGGATATTGTGGCTTATGCGGAAAAATTACACTACCGATCGTTAGCTATAGTGGAAGTCAAAAAATTACCACTTTTAAAGGGCGGCAAAGTGATAAACTTNAATGACCCAAAAATGGTTAGATTCTTTGTTCAACTTGTCGCAGAAATGTTTTCTAACCACACAAGTAAAGGCATGCTAACAGATTCTTATACAACAATATTGGCTGAAATAGATATCGAGAGAACTTTGGATANAATCAACCAGGATACCGAGAGATTGAATGATGAAAAACCTATCGCTCTAAATTATAAATTGTTAAATTGTCAATCATCTGGCCTTACGTTGAGAGGTGGCCTTATTTCATACATCTATGAGGCTTTCCTGGTGAATGAGCCTCGAGTCGCTGAAATTACGAGAGGAATGGATGCTATTTATAAGTTTATTCGNAAGACAGATGAAGAGTACTTAACGAACTTGGATGAACTAGCATCGAAAGATAAGATACCGTTCATGGAGTACTGCATCAATGCAATTGAAAATCACGATCGAGAATCAGAAAAAAGAGAAAGACTTTTTATAACAGAAATTGGACTAGGAAACTTTGACGATATCGACGTGCAAAGCGGGTTCACGTTTAATACCCAACTCTTCAAAGTGAACACGAAGAATGTAATGGGCTTTTTAAGGGGGGTCAATGGTCACAATCAATTAATTGTGAAGGTCTTTGATCCCATCAAAGCGAAAAGAGACCATAAGGATTACCAAGATAAACAAACTGATATTTTCGGCGCATGTCGCAGGGCGTACCTGTGCGAGAAACTTGCATACGAAAAGTTGTCAAATAACTTCTTGTTTAATAGCGTTTATGTTGACCAGAAATGCGTCTTTGGAACTTTCAATATCGGTAAGCATTATCATGCATTGGGCCCATTTCTCATATTAAAATATATAGAACAAGGAGAAGAAGAATATGATCGNTTGCCCAAAGATAGGGCGACGTACGAAAAAGCCGAAAAGCAGTTGGAAATAATTCACAGTGTCGGAATAATACATGGAGATATTTGTGAACGGAATATTCTTTACTCAGATGGAAAGATATATTTTATTGATTTTGGATATTCTGATTATTTTCACGATAAGAAGGGTTCGCGACCAGTTAGTGCTAATGCTGAGAGAAGGAAAAGCGAACATAGGAAATTGTGTAGAGTGTTTAATCAGTTAATTCCGGAAAAGTATGAAGATTCGAAGAATGAGGGAAACTAGTTATATAATCATTGTATAGCGAGCAATAAAAAGTTTTGTCGATTATCCTCATCACGCTCCTCCATACCCTGTGCTTGCCGGAAAAAATGAGTTCCGCACCGACTTTGAACTATACTAATGAAAGCTATTGGAACCATGACAGATAGCGGTGAGAGTGTAACCATGACAGTGCGAAAAAAAAGTGGGGCATAAAAAACTTTAAACTGCACATTCTCAGACTGGAACCACTCCCCCAACCCCAATTCATGTACTAAGTCTTGTAGTTTAGTATTCAGATGATGTAGAGTATATTCCATGTAGTGTAGTCCCATTTAGAAGCTATTTCTCAAAGTTGAAATATTAGTTTTCATGTTTTCAGATTCTCGCAATAAAATATGAGATATCATAAACTGAGAGAAATATTTCACAAATTTTAAAAATAAGAAAGTTTTATTTTTCAGGTAAACTTTGAGTATGTTATTATAACAATCTATTGCATGTTTAAATTGAAATATTGAATCCATACGAGTTTTATATTTGTTATAATGATAATTGTAGAATTGTGGTTAGACAAGATCCCATGTTCATTTTGGGTTTTCCTTTTCGCGCTGTGCCGAACCTTATCTCCTTCTAGACAGCAATTGGGCTATTTTCACATGCATTATACGCACACGCACGATCCAAATCGACGACAGATGAGTTGTCCCATTCTGAAAATATTCAAGCCTGCATCTTTTGCAACAAAAATGGAAGCATACGGCATACGTATTGTTGATATTAACGGAGTTTCAATTTTAACACATGAAGAAATATTCTTAACCCGTTTTCCGAGAGATTTACCCAGGGATATTTAGTGAATGCCGTAGGTTGTTCCAGCATCCGTGAAGACATTCTATCAACAATTCATAACAACTTCGATAACCACTCAAAAGACCATTATGTGCGAAAAAGGGTTGTTTCAATCAATTACGACTCCGAAATAGCGGGAGCTAAACTAAATGTGTGCGATTTGTTTTAACCACTGCGGACAGAACTACATCAACCAGCATCTCAAAAAAGAGCATGGCGTTAGGAGGAATTTCCAACAGCACGCCTTCAGAACAACCGGATATGCAATTCCCAACCAAAGGCGTTGATTCTCCTATTTATACCGCGAAAAAGAAGACGAAGAGGGCCCGAATTACGATATAAGTAGAGGGAAAAGAGTTGATTTCCTCATGCTGGTCGTCTCATGTTTAAGCCACCTGTTCTGGTTCTGCTACGGAGCCACCGGGTATCAACCGTTGGCGGTACTTTCCGTATCCGGCAGCTTGCGACAAACAATGGTAGCTACCCCCAATCTTCCTATTTCCTGGATCCTGTCGCCCTCTTGCAAACTTTTTCGACCGTCCAAAACTTTTCTGTTTTGGCCACTCCAGCAATCTAATTTAGAACGCGCCATGGCTTCTTCTGAAAGAATTTAAAACGCAGGCTGCACATTTTGTATTAGTTTGGGGAGGTTCAGCCATTTACAGGGTATAATATGCCGACATGTTTTTGCTGCATAAATTTCTACAACAAAAAACAAAGCTCAAAACATATACAGAAAAAAAAAAACCCTACCACCTCATATATAACTCGATATTATAATATCCAGGAAATTGCAAGCAAATCGCTTTCTAATCTATGTCCTTGTAGAGAATAACAAAAATCAAATTTAATATGACTTTTGGAAGCCTTATTCCTGGCTAGATTGTGATCCCGGTCATGATGATGCATTCCCAAGTTTGTTGTCAGCGTTCCACTCGAATTTCAAATTACTTGGTATATCAACAGTGTATGGAAATGCTTCAAATCCAAACACAACCCACAATTCCCTAGGGTTGTTAGATGCGTTAGGATTTAACCAGGATGAAATAAAAGTATATTCGGGAGAAAAAAGGTCATTAGAGGAACTTCCTGAATATTCACCAGAAATTCACGGACCAAGTGGCCTTGGAGGTGTAGACATTCCCCAGGTTCCGAGAATACAAAAATCCACAGACAAGACATATTTGCAGGCGATGAGGAAAGCCATTTTAGAACACCTGGGTCAGATATGTGTAGTATGTACGGGTACTTTGACAAACATGGCTATTTTAATAAAAACTTACCCAGAATTGAAATCAAAAATTCGCTTCATTTCTATCATGGGTAGTGGAATAAATATTGGAAACTCAACGAAATATGCAGAATTTAACATTAAGTGTGACCCACATGCAGCAAAGGAGGTGTTGACTGATAAAGATTTAAGCGGTAAGACAATATTGGCTCCATTAAATATTACCCACACGGCAATTGCAACTAAAGCTGTTATAAATGAAATATCCGGAGGGGTTGACGAAATGAAACGCTCGCCCCTTAGAAAGCTATTTTACGACACCATAATGTTTTTTGTTGACACATATAATAAGTTACCAACGCTAAGGACCCCAGCATTAGGGGGATTGGGTATGATTTGTCGTAGTTAGCTCAACAACCAGCACGCGAAAAATCGAATCTGACATAATAGTAACAAGAGAAACAGAATCCACCTGGAGGAGAAACGAGTCAATCTTGAATTAGATACATGTTTAAAATTAGAGTCCAGTAAATGGTTGAATACCGTATTAGAGTTGCTGCTACTAAAGATTTTTAATATCTAGGATTGTTTGGAAAGTTTTCGCAGCTTGTTAATCCGATTGCATATATATGGAAATTTTTATAGAAAGTCAGCGGTAAGCTGGATAAGCTATTCAATATATATTCACTATTTCAGAAAGTCCTCTAAAACTTCTAAAACTGCTAAATGATCCTCTTCTTGTGATGACAAAACCACTAAGAGTGATAATTGCGACAAAACTTTCTCCACCATTAACTCTAATAGGCACACTGCCTCCGTATCTGGCATATTAATATAAATCACTTGTATTTTCAAAAATTGTTCTTTTTATTAAAAATTCTTCTTTATAAGCTAACGAAGGTATATCAATCTTCATCACTGAGCCCATCAAATCTTAATAAAAAATTACTTCTTTTGAGCATCTAAAATCTGCTTGACTGAGTCAACTATAATTTTCTCAAGACTAATGTATTCGAATCTTAGTAATTCACGAGTTCTTTTGGTATCTAATTTCATTAAGTTAGTAGTGTCGCCGCCGTCTGTGTTACCTTTTGGTAATTTTTCTGCCAATTGCGGAAAGTTCTTATGAATTATATCAATAATATCTTGGTTATCAAAACTTCCTGCAGATACAAGTAACCTCTCATTGGTAATCTTATCATTTTCAAAAGCTGTAATATGTGCCTTTGCGACATCTCTCACGTCAATATAATAACCAATAGTCTCAGGAATTTTGTCATCCTTACTAAGCTTTAATAAAGAATTAATCACCTCAGAAGAAGTGTTAAGCTGTCCGCTCACTTGTTCCTCAAAAGCTTGAGGTCCAAAAACATAAACTGGATTGACAACATTCATGGTAAAGTTAGGTTTCTCCTCTTCTATGAACGTCCACGCTATCTTTTCGGCTAACGCCTTAGAACCAACATATCCGACAAAAGGATCATTTTTACATTGATCATAAGTCAATGGGTTCCAGGTTTTTTCGTTGAATGTACTATTAGGATCGTTATAATGTTGAACATCAAAATTTGCTGCCAATGATGATGTTAAAACAACTTTACGAATTTGAGGTCCATTGGATTTAATAGCCTTCAACGCATTTTCAGTTCCGTGAATTGCTGGAAGAAGCAAATCCTTCTCAATACTATCAGTATTAAAGTGAAATGGAGAAGCTGTATGAAGAAATACTGTTACGTCTGGATGATTTTGCAAAGCTTTGTCAAATGCCCCTTCCTTTTCAATCAATTCTATAATCTCATATCTGAATTTATCAGTTGATAAAAGTCTCTTTAAGTGTTCTCCTTTTTCAGTAGATCTTACTGACCCAATAACAGAATATCCTTTTTCTAATAATTGCTTTACTAATGTAAGAGCAATGAAACCTGTGGCACCTGAAACAAAGATTGTAGTGTTTTCCATTTTATAATTATAAATATTTGATGTATTAATATTTTATCTTTTATATCAAAGTTTCTTAGTTCTTCGAAAAATCTAATCCTTTAAGTACCCTATTTCAGATTTAAAACTTAAATCCGAATACAACCCTAGGTGAGTATTGTTTTTACTTTTACGGATTTAACCTTTTAAATCCACTATTTCGGATTAAAAAATCGAATCCCTTTGGACATTACTTTTTCGGATTTAACCTTTAAATCAGATGGACTAAAAAGTACTAAATGGATTGAGCATGTTTAAATCCGAAATAGTAACGTAATTTACTACAAACGTCCGTTAAATTCCGTTATATCCGAAAATGCATATTGAAAAGCTTTATTCTTGATAGAAGTACCAGTAATCTTAGTTCTAAAAAGTATAAATACTCGAATAATTTGATTCAAAAAATTTTTAGAAAAATATAAAACAAACTAAAAAAATCGAACATGGAATATCAAAACTTAGGAGAATCTGGGCTTAAAGTATCGAAGGTCATTGTTGGATGCATGTCATTTGGTTTGAAATCGTGGGCTACTTGGGCTATTGAGGATGAAGAAGAGGTTTTTAAGATTTTGAAAAAGTGTTATGATGTCGGTTTGAGAACTTTTGATACGGCTGATGCTTACTCCAACGGAAGATCCGAGATTCTTTTAGGAAAATTTATGAAGAAGTTTAATATTCCAAGAGATAAAATTGTTATCTTGACTAAAGTATTCTTCCCTGTTGAGGGTATCAACTTGGGAGAAATATTGAGTGGAGATCAAAAATTGAATAATTATGAACTTGCCAATTCTCAAGGGTTGTCAAGAAAACATATACTTGATGCAGTAGAAGAATCAGTTAAAAGATTAGGAACATACATAGATGTTTTGCAAATTCATAGATTAGATAATTCAACGCCAAAAACTGAAATCATGAGGGCGTTAAATGATGTTGTTATACAAGGATCGGTAAGATATTTAGGGGCCTCTTCAATGAAAGTTGGTGAGTTTGCTCAGTTGCAACACATTGCAGACAAGAATGGATGGTTCAAATTCATAAGTATGCAAAATTTCCATAATCTATTATACAGAGAAGGAGAAAGGGAAATGATTCCCTTTTGTAATGAATCAGAATTTGGAAAAGTGAGTGTTATTCCTTGGTCTCCTATTGCGAGAGGTTTGCTTGCACGTCCTATTGACCAGCATGTTAATACAGGTAGAATAAATTCAACTGATGACTATTTTAAAGCATTTGGGTTGTATCCATTATCAAAGAATGATCAGGAGATTGTCAACCGGGTGGAAAAGCTTTCTAAAGAAAAGAATGTCAGTATGGCAGTTATTGCTACCGCATGGGTAATGCAAAAAGGTTGTTTCCCAATTGTTGGAATAAATTCAGAAAAACGAGCGGAGGACATTTTAGAAGCTTTTAAGGTCAAATTCACGGATGAAGAATTGAAATATTTAGAAGAACCATACTTGCCAAAGCCATTTATAGGATGATTCAATTCAAAATGATTAAAATAACTAAATAATTGTTATTCTATGGTTGTCTATATATATTATTTTTAATATGAGAAGAGAAGATCGTTATGTATGCTAGTAGTTAGTCCTATCACGTTCAGTTTAAATGTAGTCAGGCCGTTCTTTATCTTCACTATGTCCAAACATTTTAAATTTCACTCCTTGTATTGCGTGAAATGTTGATAAAATCACTGACTTGAGGGGTTAGTGTGGAGTTAGAGAAATGATATGGTATCTTTCATGAAACCCCCATTACTGTTACTAGATTTAGGTATGTCGTTATTTTTATACATCAAAAAGTGTTGCAACAACCAGATTCTAGAAGAGTAGTCATCAGGCTAACATTGCTGATAGTGACGTATGATATACTTGAGATGAAATGAAAATGCTCTCTGCTTAACCACGATTTAAAAGTCACCATAAAATATGGTTCATTTTTAATAGTCAATATTCCAGTTCAGCAAATAGCTATGTCCCCAAATTATCTTATAAATTAAGTTCTTAAAAGCGTATCTCATTTGAAGTCGTCACATTTACTAAAATCAATCTACATATTTAATTTATATACTTCATTTCAATATCTTATTTCAAGTTTCAGTGAAAAAATTAAATATAACGGAAACACCTTCAGCAACATATTTTTCGTTGTCATATAATTGTATATGATCATCTCCCTTAATAAAATTTTCGTCTTTATTCTTTTGAAGCTGCCCTCATAGCTATGTCATCACTAGTCCATTTAGTACCAGCCTTCTCTCCAAAACCAATCTGCAATGGTTGCGTTTAATAAACCTCAGCCATGTTAAAGGCATCATAAGTTAACATTTGGGTTAGATTTCTAGAAGTTAAATACGCTGGAGCCGTGTGATATTGGGCACGGAGAGACGATAATACTCCCATGCTTCTTCCATTTCCTTGTCGCCTTTTGCTATTTCCTTGTCGCCTTTTGCTTCTTCCTCTTTCGTAGGAATAAAAGGAATGGTGCCAATATCACCTTTCGCTGTTGATTCAAATTCCGCATCACCACTATGAATTTTACCACCAAGCTCAAGAGTTGACAATGCATCAGCATCTTTAATTTTTCCATCCCAACCATTACGGAAAGTCCCACCGATATTGGCAGCACTGACAGTGTCAACGGCTTTAATACGGTGATCATTAATAGCCGCATTAACATATGGCTGAGTAATTATATAATCGACAACAGCACTAACATCTTCGGCCCTGATATATGGGTTTTCCAATTTACGTGGCTCGCCTGTAATTTCACCTTGATTAGAAGCACAAATGCAATAGTAACTAATTGTCCTGCTTCAGCTATCTTCTTGGCATATAAACCAGCAGTTTGTTCTTTGACACCTCCCCGGATGTGTGACAATTATTGCATGATATTTCTTAGATTTATCAAAACCTTTTGAGATTTTAACAACAGCAGAAAGAACAATACCGCCTCCACTAGCGTTTTTTAATATGACTTTGATATCGTTTGATAAATTTTTATTAATTAATAAGGCCAAAAATCAAACATCTATTTGAGAGGATCTCAGTACAATTTGTAGCAATCTAATCGTGAAAAAAGCAATTCGCAATTCGGTATTTTTTTAAATCCGAGTTAAATTGATTAGGATTTAATGATATCTCCGGAGACTGGAATACATCGGAGTAATGAGTGAACCTCTTCTGGAAATAGGTTCAGCATGACAAGACAGCAATATTCAAGTACAAATTGGATTGAAATTCCACAATCAGGTATCATTTGGAAATTTGATTAAAGAATAAATATAGTAATGAGTAGCGTCAATTTTAACAGTAATGGGCTTAAGATTAGTGGCAATATTTATATTCCTAGGAGTATAAGAGAAGAAGATACACTTCCAGCTATTGTTGTTGTTCACCCTTTCACTAGTATCAAAGAGCAATCGCCTGCTATTTATTCCAAGCTTCTCATAGAGCAAGGTTTTATCGCGCTTGCTTTTGATGCAGCTTACCAAGGTGAAAGTGAAGGAACACCACGGTTCCGTGAAAATCCTTACCAACGTGTCGAAGATATCAAGTCTGCTGTTACCTACTTGAGTACAAGAGTAGACGTTGATCTAGAACGTATTGGCATATTAGGTATATGTGCAGGTGGTGGTTGTGCTTCTTTCGCTGGATCTACAGATGCTCGTGTGAAAGCTGTTGCTGGCGTGAGTAGTGTTTGTGTCGGTAGATTGAATCGCAATGGTTTAGAAAATAAGCAAACCCCGGAAGGAGTAAGGGGTTTATTGAAATTGGCCTGTCAAGATCGTCTAGCACAAGCTAGAGGTGAATCCCCCCTATTATATACCTATGTTACCTAAGGACAAGGAAGCTATTGAAAAAGCAGATCCATTTACCAAAGATCTTTGTGCTTATTATAGAACGTCAATTGGTGCTCATCCCAATACCCAACATTTAGTTGAAGCAACAAGCTTTGATTCAATTTTGGGTTGTGATTCGTTTTCTAATTTGTCTATGTTAGCTCCTCGCCCTTATTTAATGATTGCTGGTACAAAGGCTTTAAGCCGTTTCTACAGTGAAGATGCTGTAAAGACTAGTTCAAATGGTGAATTATTCCTCATTGATGATGCGACACATGCGGACTTGTACTTCAAACAACCCCATGTTGATAATGCTGTTAAGAAGTTAACTGAGTTTTTTAAAGGAGCTTTTAAATAGACACGATAAATTTGTTTTAGGTATCGTGATATGAATTCAAAACTATTTTTTTTTTGCGACTTTGTAACTGATATCAAGATAAGTAGTCAACAAGGCACACTTTGGCCGATTTTCGAGTGTTTTCAGGTGTTTATGGCGGGTTTAGGCTGTTTTAGGATGCTGGATATGCGGGATGTGGGCTGGATCGGACCGTGAGTGGCTCCGTGCTGACAAATTTTCTAGACAAGGCCACGCCGGAAATAGAGTTGGACCATTGCTATTCGTCTGTTGATGCGGCGGCCAGGCTGCAAGTTGCCGTTTTGGGTGCGAACTTTTCTTTTAGTGATGGTGGTTGATGGTTTAGTCGACAAGATAACCAGCGTCTGGACGAATCCAGCCAGCATTCTCACTCCTCTTAAAGCGAGCTTGTTTTCCTTTCCTCTTCTTTTTTTTTTTTTGCTACCTAAGTAGTCAACATCAAAATGTATGCTCTTGATAATAACTTCCCCTCGATGGAGGAGTTCTTTGAGCGGTACGGGGACGACGGGGCCCAGGAACCCCGAGACTATTACGGCATGCTGCCGGAGGAATAAGACGAGACGTACGGCGGGCAATTTAGCTACGAATTCCCGCTGATTAACTCGAAGCTCCGTGAAAAGGCCGAAGCACCCATCAACTATGATGTTAGTGAATACTACTTCAACGCCCAGCTAGGGTTGGGCATCCACAAAGAGATCGGGCNTGTGGTGGTGTTCCACCGAGACCCCCGGAAAACTTTATTATCCGATCGCTGCTATTCGAGAGGTAGGCGCAGGCCATCTTGTGCAAGATGACCCTGTTCCGTGAAGCCTTGCAGTTGCTGCGGGCCAAGGACGAGCTCAGTCGGAAGCTCGTGCTCAATTGCGAGTTGGGTGAGCCGGGACTTGAGCACGCTCGCGGCAAGCTCAGCCCCCAATGCATGCCACTCCTGGCCGTGCCCATCCACTTTGGCTTTGGCTGCGACTGCGGGATCATCAGAAGAAAGTACGGTGAGTTGAGTCGCCACCCATGTATCCAAAGGGACACAATCCGACCGGTGGCGTTCCAAAAGTTCCCGCAGAAGTATGGTCTCCTGCCGGCCAACTTTGAGGTCTATTGTCCCACCAATGACGGCTATGTGGAAGGTCGCGTCAGGGTCCTTCCATATCGCGCGCATCATCGTCGTCGTCATCATCAAATACAACAACCCAAAGCCTGCGTACCACCACTGTGCCTGACCTGCAGCACCATCCGATTGTGAAAAAGATTCTCCAGGACGTGGACCGCGAGATGGTGGACTTTCAGGTGAAAGGTATGAAGGATGCCAGTTTTGTTTCAAGATTGCCCAGCTCCTAGTGGGAGCCATGACACTTTTCAGCGCCAACATCAACCATGTCAATCTTGCCGGGCTCGAAGTGGTGCGACTATTTAAAGGCGCCGCCAATAACAGCGGCGGCAGCAGAAGCAGCAGCAGCAACTTCAACCGCCGTCCATTTACTTATTTCCGCGCGGTCCAGACATATCTGACATGCGTCCAGTACAGCAAGTACATGGCCGAACTAGTATACATGGTATTGATGTATGGACCTAAACTGCGGCCTCTTGGCGTTCACTGAGATCCTTGACAAGCATGAAGACGGTGAAGTTGTGTTGGAGGTCAATGCCCGCGATTATCACAATTTGACAGGTTACTCGCAGTTTATCACGGCAGATGAGCGCACGCGGATCTTGAACCAGACATTTACCGAGTCGTCCCTTCGCGATATCGACTATACCCTGCAATTGGGTGGACGCGCGACAAGCCCATACAAAAACTAGAATCGTGGTTTTGTTTACTGTTGAGGAGCCATAAACCAAAACAAATAAACAAACAAGTACTTACATAATATAGGATTGTTGTATTAAAAGGTTTTTAGGGACGTCTAAAAGATTTCATTACGCTCTAATTGAATGTTAGTTTGAAATTATTTCCTTAAAGGATATTGGAAGATTAATTATTGCACGCCACCGTTCGAACTTATTAAGTAAAGCTATTGGAACCTTGACGGATCTTTTTGAGAGCGGAACTTCGACAGTGCGAAAAAAAAATGGGCCATACAAAGTTTCTAACTGTCATTTTAAGACTGTAACTATTCCTCCGATTTATGAATTAGAGCTTGTATTTTAGCATTTCAATGATGTAGAGTATATTCCATGAAGAATGGATATTTTCAAAAGCTTTTCCTCAAAGTAGAAATTTTAGTTTTCATGTTTCTTAGATTTTCCCATAACAAAATGAGATATCATAGACTAAGAGAAATATTTCGCAAATTTTAAAAATATGAAAGTTTTTTTATTCTTCTGAGATTTGGACATGTTATTATAGACATCTATTGGATGTTTAATTTGAAATATTGAAATTATATGAGTTTTTTATGTTCTATAATGACTGTAGAACGGTGGTTGCCAACCATTGAAACGGTGTCATATCACTTTTTGTGTTCCTTGTTCACGCTGTGCTGCGATTATTCATCTCTTCCTAGATTCCAGTCAGGTTTATTTTCAGGTGCATAATAAGATTTTTTCTTCATGTATGGTCTTTGAGTAGCAAAGGAAATATTCATCGGAATTATTCGATATTTAACGAAAACTATCACATAATACCAACTATCTAGATGATTTCTTCGTAAAGATATCTTCCTTTATTCTTTTGTATCGAGTAATTATGTACGTATCATTCAAAAACTTCAGAAAGAGTACAATTATTATCAATTCCGCATTTATTTTCTTGATAATTTTAGTTCACATGAAATTACACTGCCCGACGATTTTCCTGATGATCCTTGAGAAACTCCAGAATGCGCTACTACCCTCCATAGAAAATATTGCACTTTCTAAAGTGATGTGGAGTGTAGCAATTTCTACATTACTGGAAGTATAGTAATCTATAGTCATTTTTCTGTGTGGGCTTCTTCAAATGACCCGGAGAAAGCTTTGTCGTACATAAACTTTATCGGAACCACAAAGCAAAGCTTGGTAGAGATATTTCCTTTGACTAAAAGCACAACCTACACTAGGAGTCCACTCACTATCTGGAAAACTTCCGTTAGAATGCAGTTTCAACCCTCTTAGAGTCAGAAATCCTTAATTAACTTTAATTCTTCAAAATTTGCCTCATCTTATGAAGTTCTGTTTTATATTCACCAAATCTTTAAAACAATTTCGGAATACTGTTTACCAAATCAGATCTATTCGTCATATTAATGACCAGGCTACAATATTCTTAGGTCCAATAGCGGTCTTATCATTGATAGTCTGCCAACATAGTAGTTCCTATTACCCATCTCAGACTAAGGCCTAACGATTATTTATGATATTTCTCTATCAAAGTACTCTTGGATATCATGTTCACTATTTATTGCATCTCCGGTTGGATAAATGCTCGCCCAATAATGGCCAATGCTGAATAAATGAGTGCTGAATAAATGATTCATAGGTTTATAAAGTAGAGCAATATATCTTGCTTCGAATTATGACCAATTACTTTCCGAGAATTAATCATTAATGCAAGGGAAGTATATATAAGAACAGGCATAGAAGCGGCGTAATGCCTAACAACAAATGCATAATGCCCATAGTTGTCTTTTAGAGATTGGGATATATTCTCCTCATACAATTTCTAAAGTATTAACAAATGGAGAAGGTAATAATGTATTCTAATCTCACGCTCACCAAATTCTCTGCTATATGTTATTGAAAATGAATTTGGAAAACCAACATAGTTAGCTTTCTATAGCAACAAACTTGCCAATAACATTGAAATTTCTACATTTCTACTTCAAATAAACGTTCATTGAATATGGGAATATGGATATTGCTTTCGAAGACATTAAACAAAGGTAACAAAACGGTGGCTTCAATATCCCTATCTTTTAGAATTAAATAGATTCTTGGGGTGGGTACTTCAAGCAGTCAGTCAAGGGTATGATGGAGGCATAATGGAAGACTTAAAAACAGCCAAATTGGACAAGCTATTTCAACAATCCTCATGGGAGTAAATAAAGTACGATGACAAACAGNTGGAAAATTCGTTCATTATGTGTTGTTCCCGGTATTGTATTAATTGATNTTATATTTTCAAGTCTTGTTCGAGAGAGTGGGGTTATTCGAGCAATAATTAGAGGCTGGTAGCAAATTTTGAAAAAATTTCTAGGGTCAAGAATGTAATTGGGGTGGTGATATCGCTCTACCCCCACTCAACTCATAGACCAGCAATTACGAGTTTGATGCAAGCGAGTTTGATGCAAGCAAGTTATGTATTAAATCTTTTCTAGCTAATAATAGTTAACAGAAAAAGTGTGGAAGTGTTAGGGAGTTGAAAGATGAGAGTGAGAGTTATAAGGCATTAGACAAGTTCCAGGCGAGTGAATGCCTATACTGAGAGAAGCAAAAATAAACACAACAATTTTGTCGAATCTTTGGTCCAATAATACCTGACAAATATCACGATTCAATTGAATAAGGTAAAAAATAGCTTGTAGGTATGCATTATCTTTGTGATGATTTTGAAGCAATATCTTCTATCGTTGTTCGGGTACCAAAAGTTACTGAACTCCCTTCATCAAATACTTCTTCACTAGAAGAATTACTATCATTTCCATATTTGTCATCTTCGTCTGCTCTATCAGCAGATATAGCTTCGCTATTAACTCGATTGGCATGCTTATAATTTTCATTAGAACCATTTGCTCTCAATATGTAGTCAAGAGTCTCAAAATCATTCTTCTTGTGTTCTTCATTANTTGTGCAGTCNGATAATCCAAAATCTATCAAAGATATCTTACCAGAAACAGACACATGAATGTTGGCTAGTCTAATATCATTATGCGAGATTCCTATCAGATGAAGCTCTTCGAGTCTTGATTTGATAACTTTGTACACTTCTTTGTTATTCCACTTTTCTTCTGGGACCTCCTTCCCTAGGTATTCAAATATATGCATCGGATGATCAGAAAGCCCGTTCCAATAACCAGAAACAAGGAGCTTTGGGAAATTAGAAGCGAATTCTGACTTAACAATTCTTTCATTAATTAAAAGCTCGTTGAAAAACATGCCGTAATACCCCTCTTTTTCCGGTATCTCCAAACACATCAAACTATTCTCTTCCCACAATCGACTAGAGTAGTAGTATAGTTTGACAAAAACTGGCGATGGAAGTTTCAAATCAGGATAAAAGTCTGCGGAATCGTATATAACTCGACAATACGTGTTACCATCAATAGCATCAAAGTTATCACTGACATCACGTTCTCTTATCGAGTCTAAGTTGCCTGGAAATCCAGGTCTATCCAATTTTCCCGAAGATCCAGATGGGTCTCTAGGACGAACGTTGAAAAATGGATCCAGTTCTTTAATACTTTTTACGTCGGTGCTGCTGGCAACACTAAAAATTTCCATCAACCTGGCCTTTGTATCAGCTGCATCACCAACACTTTTATAAAAAAATCCCGCTATAGCCGACCTCAAAGTAATACCATCCTGCACAGTTTCTGGATCATGGATGATATGGTACTCTATAATCATTTCGCCATCCACTATTTCATACTTGAAGAATCCTGAAAATGTTTGGTGGTCTGAAATAAGAATCCTATCCGTTCCGCAGAGGAAAGCTTGGTAGATATATTTGCTTAGAACCAACGCAAATAATACTCTAGGCGACCACTCTCTATCTGGAAAGAAGTTCCCAATGGAATGCAGCCTCAATCTTCTTCGGCTCAGAATAGCTGTCTTGAATTCTTCGAAGCCTTGCATCATTTTATAAACTCCTGTTTTGTAATCACCTATCCCGAAAACAATCTCGGGATATTGCGTATTTAAATCCGGCTTAGTTAACATGTGAATGATATCAGGTTGTACCGCTCTTTTTCCATCTAATGGTGATTTTACAAACGATGGACTGCAAAAATGATTGGATATATCACCAATATCACGATAAAGATGATCGATTGTTCGTGCTATTTCTCGATCAAAGTATTCTTGGATAGCTTGCTCCACATGCATTGCATCTCCCAGTGGATACTTATACTGGTATGCCAAAGGTAAACTCCTAATACTCGATTCTCGAAGAGCACTATCAAGCGGAGCAAGATAGGTTTTCTTGAAATTATCACTACTCATCTCCCTAAATTCAGCAGTAATCAATATCCGGCTAGTATACACAAGAATAGGTATAGAAGGCATATTCCCTAGGCCCACAGATGCATTACCCTTAGACACTAGTTTCTCTGTACGGAGTTCTTGCCCACCTTCATTACCTCGAATCTTTAACAAGTGAGTGTCCAAAAAGACCCTCGTGTTTTGTTCATAGTTATTAAGGACTCTAATAAATAGATCAACATTTATTGTAATGCATCCATTGCTAGGATCATCGATAGTGATAGAATCACTATCTAACCCAGAGAAATACATACACGGCATTATGTTATAGAAATTGAATGGTGTTTATTAAATATCCCTTAATCTTTGATTGGGTTACCCTTCCTTGAAATTGCTTATGTAATTTCATGAACCATTACATAATTAAATGTCTTAACTAGTCGCACAGTTATACGTCTTAACAAAGCTTCGTTTTGTGAACCGCATTGCAAAATCTATGCAACGTTGTAAAATACGACGTAAAAAGCATTTTGTCATTTGGCACTACTGCAACGCAGCTTGTGTGATGTCGTGTCTTTTGATCTGTCTCCAATCTCGTATCCCCAATCTTGTCTTGCTGAACTAAGAGCTCATTTGCATGAATAAAGCATACATGTCCTCCAGTTGAACAATTCCACTACTAATATCGACAAGCAAATAACTTGCACATCTTGTAGTGTTTCCCATCTGCTTTTATTATTATCCAATTGCTTTTATTGCTCCATTAGTCTGAGTTCGTAATACCTAACATAGTTAATGTAAAAGAATACTATTTTTGAAACAATAATAGGATATCCTCTTGATATGAGTTTTGTCTTATTTGATATGTTATCAGTCTTGTTGTATGTATATGTGCATACCATTTTCCCGCCACGAAAAATATGTTCCTTTTTTTATCATTAAATTGTAATCCTAATACCTCGGTCATACGAAATGGAAAAGTACATAATTAATATAATGAGTTTGTTTAGTTTGAAGTAATTAAATCAAAGTGCTCTTCTTAAATCATCTGCTGTTTCTAGCAACACAAATAGAACACGTTCTCTGAAGGAATGAAGTGGTGCAAAACAGGATAAAGATGAATAGAAGTTTGGGTCATATACTCGCTCAATGAATTCTTTAATTTTAAAGTGATCCGGTAATATTGGTAAAATCGTATCGCAGAACATTTCAATAAGACAATATATTCGGGTACGTCAGATAGATGTATTTCTTTTTCTTTGTAAAGCATCGTGGTATACTTTTTAGTGAAATAAACATCATAATAATTAGAAACAATAGTCCTAAAGTCAAAAAGTCTACCTTTTATAATTCTTAAAATCTTATAGATATTTGTGTAATCTTCTGCCGCCTTGAAATATTTTTTGTATTCTAGTTCCATATTTTTATGGTTTGTTCGACAATAATTAATTAATTCCAATTTTATAAAACGTTGAGTAGCATCAAATAAATGTTTAATTCCACTTTCGTCTCTTAGGCAGTTATCCACTGGATCTAGGTGATTTAACCATAGGGCTACTATGAATGATGATGTCTGAAATTCGTATCCAACTGGATTTATTTTGTATAACATCAACTTACTATCAAAATAATTTGTGATAATCTCAAAGTTATCAATATCATTAATCTTATCATTAATATCGATCAGTCTCAAATAACCGAGGTCTTTCTATTTGATCATAGTATAAAGAATCTTAAATACTATATTAGTATACATAATAATTGTTTCCTTTCGAACATTACGGAATTTTTTGAATAGACTTTGTCCCACTACGTGATTCAGCCTAGCATATTCACTAATTTCAACCATTCTGTCTACTAAAGATTGTCTTAACTCATTTACTTTATCAGACGCTGTAGATAACTGCAATATTAGTAACTTAAAATCTTTGTGATTTTTATCAATAATATTTTGCTTAAAATTAATATCTTCTAAATATTTATTTCCTCTTAGAATGTATTCGGTTAATTCTTTAGTTAACTGTGGATTGGTTAGCTTGTTTTTTATGGAAGTTAGAGATTTCTGGGAATTCATGTACGTTAGATAACATAATATACGTGAGACCTATGCGATACCCTTGACCAATTTAAATGGACCTCGATAAGTACACTTTTCTCTCAGAGAAGAAGGAATTCGATGAGAAAAATGATTTTGGATCGACTTGAGTCTTGTACACTCTGGACAGTATTGTAGATCATACAATTTAGCGAAATTAATTGGACGTGGTATGAAACCACTCCTAATAATTTGATAATTGCTTTCTGGGATAGCCTCTAATATCTTTTCTTTAGCCGAAGCTTTTGTATATATGCTTTCTGTTAGAAAAATAAATTTTAGCCACTTTTCTGTTGTATGAATATCAATAATATTTCCCGTCTTTTTGTTAACCACCTTGGCCCAATTATCTATACTTATATCACTCCTCTCTAGTAATCCTTCGATTACACCAATATTTGGCAAATTAGCTCCACTATTTGAAGGGTCTGAAAGGTTTTCCTCTGTCTCTATAGAATTTTCCATGCTATCTTGACTGAATTCTAGGTAACTGGCGTCTCCGTAATCGTCCTGAAAATTACCGAATTCTGTTTCAAGATTGTCGTATCCATCATCAATACTGTTATTATCATCTTCCATATCTTCTAAAACTTCTTGTGTTTTTTCCGCCAAGTCGATTTGATTCATCCGAACTAAATCGTCTTGTTGAATCTGATTATTAACTTCATAATTACTTTGCTTATCACTATTCTGTTCAAAAGATACTTTTTCGTAAACATGATCTCCATAATAATTCTGAGGAGACATTTCCACGATAAGCTGACTATTAGGAACATCTATAGTTTGTTGACTATCAAATTCTTCATTTTTCAAATAGGTTTTGCTATTACGTGGTTTATTACTGTCTATAGGAGGAGCGGCGTTTTCATTTAAATGTGGAGATGAAGAACCAAACCAATTAGAACTGTTAGAAATATCAAGAGCTTTTGCTTTTGATATTCTTCGTTTCAGTTTTTGGCGACATTTTTTGCATGTTTTTTTCTGACTAGCTGATTTTTTTTCCTTTCCACAACAACTGCATATCATATTACCTACTTAGATTGATCTTAAAATGTTATCTCCACTAATATAAAACTTTTTTATACGGTTTTTAAAAAAATTTCAAATGATTTCAATTTATTTGGTTCTCTGGTACAGGCTTTTTATTTAAATAACTAATAATAATTTTAATTTACTGTCTATATAAGTTCAGTAATAGTAAGATTTTGTACAACAACCTGGCCTGATACAAAAATATAGTTGTTTGCACGCCCCTTTCACACCGAAAAGTAATGCAAGCTAGGATCCAACTTAGTCAATGCTAATCCCGTCAAGAACTAAGAGAGAACACAGATGGTTGTGCAAAGGTTTTAATCAGCCAAATATGATAATTCTATCGAATGAAACATGAACTTATAACTATGTAGTCAACTGAGAGCATCATTAAAGGGGGAACTATAGAGAATGTGAGATACAAGGGAGCCCATTTATTTTGTTGCAACTTGCCGAATGTGGCGTCTCCAACTCCATGTATATATCCTGAGATATTTGATGGTTTGTATATCCTGCTAATGTTATTTATTGGGATGAAGAGGTATGCAACGCCATCCATCGTCTTCTGCTTGGCAAAGGTCTACCTCCCCACGTCCTTCTCAGTATGTTTTTCAAAGTCCATTTCTTCGAACGATTCGTATCACTCATTATTTAATCAAGATCATGATCGCCCGAGATAAGTAAATAAAAATAAACTTGAATGTGAGCTGGTCATACAAAAAATTCTGTGTGCTGTTTACTTTAGGCGTAGGCTTGATGTTGTAATTACTTAAACATCAAACGTATATATGTATAAATTAGTAAGTAAGGAAAAGTATTATACTGTTAGAAGCTTAGATAAGTATTACCCGACTAATATGAAGCACATAAAATAGAGAAATAAACAAACAAAACATTTTATAAAACCACATTGGATAATTTGAAACATTCGTCATTGAGAGTTGAATATTAGACTTGATATGCGAAAAGACTAAAGTTGCAATAGAGGGATTTCTATGTTTCATAAGCTTTAACAAACATGGTGACTCATTTCGATAATAGAAAATTCCTTTCTGCTAGGAAGTTGATTGTTTAAGTTCACCATTAACATTTGCAAGATATTTTTGGGGAACCAAAGACTCATACGAACTTAGTTAATTTTAACAAATTGGAGACCATTTACTGCTTGTGATTAGTATATACACCAATAACATGAGGTTATTAACAAAAGCAATTTTATAAGACCAAAAGCTCATTAAGAAATACTTATTTCCAGTCATTATGAACCAGGGACAACTATTGAAAAGCCAGGATACACTAAACCTAAACTACTTAACGCTTCCTAGTATGAGCATGTCGAATATCTGGCTTTCCAATTTATCAAATATAAAATACAAATTATTGTCCTTGTATTAACAATTTTCGTACATAATCTCTTTTTCATTAGTTTCTTCTAGACACATTTTATAGTCCGTTAATGTTCTGTTGTCTTTTATTTCATACAAATATTCTCTTAGTTTATTATTAAAGGGTACTCCAAAGTCCAAATTTCCACCATTTGCAACTCTGACACACTGTAAGAGAGAAATTTGCGTAGACAACGTTTTTTCCTATCTTTTGTTGAATTGCCGTCGTTCACCAATCGGTTAAGACGCATTTTACACATTCTAATGTTATTTAATAGATAGATCTTGGTTCTGGACCGGAGTATTTCTTTCCTGTTTTCATTTAAGAAGTCAGGTAAGATCTTGAAGGTGTTGTCAATATAAACGGGGCGTGCATGAATTTTCTCTAATGCCACAGGAGGTCCTTTTATTATAAAAATGGGCAGTTAACAACCTTCAACATTTTAGTGAGGGAAATTTCAACTTTTCGCTAATTTCACATTTGTTAAAAGCTCCCTCTTCGTTGGGTTGGTTAGAACCGTTATATCATAATCTGATTCGTCTTCATTCAAACCGCGTATTCGTGGTCCTCTTAAATAAACCGATAAAACTTTGCGGTCAGTCAGCTCTTCTGTGTCTCTAACCACCATTTCTATCATTTCCATACCATTGTACGATCATTTATGCTAATGGTATTTATTTGAGTCACGAATCATAATTGCGGTCGTTTAACGATAAAGGGGTCTGAAAGTTGATATTCTTAAGTCGTTTCCTTTTGACAGAGAGAAAACAAAGCAGTTTGACGTCTTCTAACACACCGATTGTTTGGCGGTAATACCCTCAGCTAGGTTATGACTGGTCATCCCCATACAAAGAGTGCTAATCTGTCTTCGTTTATTTTGAGAGTTTCATTAAAGTAATTAATAAATAGAACATTTATAGATCACCAATAGGAAACATATGTTACCTACAATGAAGAAATGAACAGAAATATACAACAAATTAATTTGAAAAACTACAGAAGGTATTTCAAGACATCAAACTATTCAACTTATCGTAACTAGTTGAAAATTGATTTTAAAGAAAGTCTGTGGTTACCATTACGGTTATAACTTCTTGAATAAAACCTAAAGCAATGTTTGGCGGAATAAAGACGTCTATAAAACATCAGCCCCACTTATAGGTATATATTATCTATGGAATCCCTTCGAAGTAACACCTCTTTTTGTTATTCTTGTATCATGTTTTTCCAAGCCTCATCTCGTCAAAATTTCCTCAGAAGATTCATCATCACATAAATGGGGTCATCATCTTTTGGGGAAATCTCAAAATGCATGATGTTAGCTAGGAAGCTTTATATACAAAATCATCTTTCTCAGTTACTTATATAAAGTCTAGAACTTATTATTTACTAATAAATATGGAGATATTCATAATGACCAAGGCAATAATTCTGCAATACATTTCTCTGGAGACTATTCAGATACTGAAAATCAGAAAGAGCTCACATTTGTAGATGTTACACCAAAGCTAACAAAATGGTTGTTCCAATACCCACATTTGCTAAAGTTAAATACTATTCGGTCTGATTGTACTATGTTACATTAATGTTCATGGGTCTCATTCATACCAGTAAAAGGATCAAAAATGTGCATGACAAAGTATAAGAGAGAAGAAGAAAATCAAAACAGTTGTTGACTTCCTTTTCTTTGACTGTTTTCTTCTGATGAATCATTTGAATGACGCAGTAGTAGTATTATCCGGGTCGGTCATAAAAAAAGGTTGGCAAAATAATGAATAATGCTAGAGATTTTAAGTTATATATTTTTCTTTGTTAGAAACATCCGAAAACAGCATGTTGCAGCTTCTACCACGGGCAAATGTCAAAAGCTAAATGCCGGCACAACATGTTTAGCTGGCTTTTTCAATCCCATCTAACCAGTCCATGTAACTACCTACTACCTGCAACTTCCACTTTTGGTAATAAAACTATACATGTCCCTACGCACCACTGTGTCGACTATGCAACAAACAAAAGCTTCTGATACGTTTGTCTCAGGACGCAAAGACAACCAAATTGAGGGTTCGACTACATGAAGTGGGTGCAGAGTATAGTTTATAACTCTTTTATCTATGTTAAATATAAACTAGTTTGAGAGTTTTACATTAGCTGAGTCTCGCGGAGAAACGCTTTCAATATGATCTACTTGACTTTTTAATTCATGCTCTCTAGGTTCAAAAATTGCATTATCAGCCTCCATTGTCAAATCGGTAATATCTTCCCCAAATATCTGGGCCATTTCTTCCAAGCCCAATCCCTTGGTTTCAGGAAAAAAGAAATAAATAACGACCATATGCACAAACAACCAAACACAAAATACAATATAGTATCTCCATGAAATGGAATCCAACCCAAGGTTGTTAACATAATTGTTAAACAAAACCCATGCCTGTGAACTTAATGAATACAAAAGTGCAGCTTTGCCTCTTAGGGTATAAGGAACGACTTCCATGACGTATGTATTACCAATTGGTGACAACATATGATAAAATCCTGAATGGAAATACATTACTGCCACAATACCTCTACCTAAAGATTTATTCTCGTGGTTTGTTTGTTCATTTACAGCCGACAATATAGTCCAAATGACAAATGTTATCAACATTAATCCAAGACTTCCTAACATCAAAACTCTCCTTTTTACCTTACCAGAATACAAGGCAGCAACTACCCCAAAGACACCGCCGTAAACGGTATACCCAATATTGATTTTCAACTTTTCAACCAGATTAGTATAGCCAATACCTTCAAGAACGATTGAAAAATAGTATGATACGAGTGAAGATCCACACAATTGTATAATAGTTGGTAACGCAATCGTGAGAAACAATCTATGAAAATTTGCTCTCGTTTGAAACCATGTTAACCAGGAAACCTTTTTCCCACTCTGCTCCATAGCAATTGCGGCTTTAATTTCTGCCATTTCAAATTTAACTAGCTCGCTATTTCTATCTCCATCTGCGTGATACTTAGTCAAAACTTCGAATGCCTCGTCCTCTCTGTAGTGAGCTATAAGCCATCTTGGTGATTCAGGACAAAAAAATACCAAAACTAATTGAATTATTGGACATGCAGCCTGTAACAATGAAGGCATGCGCCAGGACCAGTCATTATACTTCAAATCTGATTCAAAACCTGCATATACAAGAAGTGCTGCCAAAAATGCACCAGCAGGAAAGCTAGCTTGCATCATACTTGTCATAGCAGGTCTTTGAGAAGGGTAGGCTGTTTCGGCTAATAATGGTGCAGAAGAAACCGCCGTTGCACCAGAGCCAAGACCTAATACAATACGGGATGCAAGAAACATACCATAGTTAACTGCACCGGCCTGTATTCCTGACCCAACAATTGATAAAATAACACCAATAAGAAGCATCTGTTTTCTTCCAATACGGTCACCAACTATAATCAAGAATGGCGTACTAGCTAGTGAACCAAACACTTGACCGTTTGACAAAGTACTCAATCTTTCACCAGAAGGATTATTAAAATAACTGTTCCAAGTGGGAATTGTTTGTAAATTACCCATCAAAGTACCGTCATATCCTTGAGTAACCATACCGAATAAAGCACACCCTAAAAACATATTTAACTTTAACAAATATGGGTACTGAAAAAACCATTTTGTTAATTTTGGTGTAATATCTTCCAATTTAAGTTCTTTTTGACATTCTGCATCTAAATAACTGGCCCCAGAAACCAGTATTGCAACATTATTGCTTTTGTCGTCACGAACATCTGCCATGATGATATACAGCTAATAATTTTTAGAATTAATCAATCAGCAAAGAAAAAAGCGGTTTATATATGAAGTTTCCTAGTCCTTGGCTTATATTCTGGGAGACGTAGATGACAACTCTCATTTCATCAAGTGCCGGCCGTAAGATGATTTTTTTAAAAGAGGGTAATAATGGGGGAAGATTCAATACTTAATTTTGAGCTCGTCACGTTACTAGCACCTTTTCTTCTGTAAAATGGGGGTGCGGGGAAGTTATTTGTTTCCCCCACCAAATTCGTAGCTGGTAAATTCGATTGGAAAATAATTCATATTGTTGCATAGTCATAGAAAGATATTAGATTCAGACTTGCTCATTCAATTCTCTTTAAAAACTAGTCTAATTATTTAAAATCCTTGCAAAATATTGGAATGCTATGAAATCTCAAGGAAGCACTATGCACAATTACATGAATCATTATGATAATTTGTCCAAAAATATTCTAATGAAAATAAATAGAACATCTTCAGATATTTTGGAGTCGTCGTGGAGAAACATATTTGGTCGGGGAACCTTGACATTTACTTTCGTAATTTAATGCGGGGCTTATTATGCTAAGTTTCTTATCAAGATAAAAGTCAGAGATGATAAGCTCGAGGAAATCAATATGTGCAGGTGATCATACTATTGTAGTTAAGATGATACTAGTAATCTTCAAGAACTTGTAAAACTGTAATGATCTCAGCCAAATGATAACTGGTCAACCTAATACTAAAAGAAAAAATCGGTCTTTGTTTAATTTTGAGAGTTCCATGACGTCAAATCAGAACAAATAAACAAAGCTTATCAATAGAATATCAAATTTTATTTAGGAACGGGGATCTAATAGAAAGCATACATCGTTCATTTTATAGAAACAAACAAATAAAAAATCAAATGCAAGTCCATACTAACCATATATAAAAGTTACTTAGTCGACAATTTCTGTCTTTGATTACCACAAGTATAACCCATGTCACATATAATTAACTTGACCACTCTCTTTCTTAATATTTTGGATATATAGACTTTTACTTTATATGGAACGCATCAACGCATCAAAAGTTGACTAAGAGATCCAAAAATAAATAAGACTAATCAACGTTGTAGAAATTGAAGGAAATCCATATCATCAGTATCACCAGACTTATAATTATATTTGTGGTGCATGATATTGCCTTTATTTACTTCCAAAGCAATCAGGTGGTTGTTACTTGAGATATTATCAGTCATATCGGTTTCCGTAGTGGAGTGATCCTTCAATAATTTGAAGTCCAGGGGTTCATTTATTTTTAGATCTGACATGGGAATATGCCTTGTTTTTCTTTTGCAACAATTATCTTGTTTTATAATATCTGAATTTATATCAGCGTTACGGTCATTTTCATTAGGTTCAGTATACGGACATTTTCTTTTGAGCGGTGTTTTGAAATAATTGCCTAAAACTTTTGATTTTGATAAATCGTTGGAAATTACACGAGGGCTGTAAACTTTTATTGGTCTGGTAAAAGAAACATGCTTTCGTTTATCGTCCAGCTAAAACTGCTATTGTTACAGAAATATTAAAAGTTGAGTTTACAAAACAGAATGGTAGAAAGCTACTCTTGTATCATATGGTTACATTTACTTTTTTGGGTTAATATTCTGGGAATACCGCCTCCTATCCACATTTGCATTAGAAACGGTAATATTGTTGCCTAAATGAAAGTCAACAATGGCTTCACCCGTAGAATAAGGCAAAAAGATACGGTACGTTAAACTATAATATTCTCCATTGAAGCTCCTGATGGTGGTGATAGCTTTACTAAAGCCAAAAAGAAAAAGATGAACTTATGTTAAAGATGGAAAAGTATTTCATGCATTTTGGATTCTGTCTCTTTATCCACTTAGGAAAGATATACGTGGGCTGAGTTAATTTATACTATATACGAGATTAAGTGATTGAAGTCTCTTTTTGTTTCTAGACACTTTCAACTCATTGGAGGGTATACCCTTCGATAAAGTTTTATAATTTATTTCCGTATATCCTGGAGTAATTTAAACTTTGAACAGTGAAATATGATTTCTTTAAATAGAAATAATCTGTTGAATAATGGCATTAATAAGTATATAAAATTATAAAACTATGTATTAAATACTCAGTTATCGCCGAAAATTTTAAGCATCTTACTCATTTGTTGCATCATTATATCATCGCCTTTACCGGGAATATTACACTTAACTATTTCGGCTTGAGACTTTAAATTTTCTAATTCCTTTTCATCTGGAACACTTATAGGAGCTAAAAATTTATCTCTATTAAAAGATGTACTATTAGGTTGAGCATACACAGCACATGCGAACTTCGCTGATGTCTTGGCAGCAATTGTTCCCTTTAATTGAGGCACTATAACTTTAGATGATACCAAGTTACTGTTAGGTTCTGATTTACAAAATCTTCCTTTTCTGGCATCTAGTAAGTCATAAATCAAAGTAACATCATTGGAAGTTCTAATTTCTGCTAGTGGATTCCCTTGCTCTGATAAAAAAGTACTGACATTATTGTCATGCATTATATTAGCCGCGAATCCGCCTTCTTGAGAAATAACATCTACTGAGCTGTTATTAGAAACATAATGGACTCTAATATACATACATAGTCGACACAGCGGCGCGTTTGGCGATGTGGTGTCGAGTGTATAGGGTTTATGGGTTTTTTTGGGGG